TTACTAGTAAAGGTAACTTGTATTGTTAGGTTGCACCCAGTGCAGGTAAAGGTAACATTGTTACACCCAGTGCAGTCAAAGTAAAGGTAACTTGTATTGTTAGGATGCACCCAGTGCAGGTAAATCATTACTAGTAAAGGTAACTTGTATTGTTAGGTTGCACCCAGTGCAGGTAAATCATTACTAGTAAAGGTAACTTGTATTGTTAGGTTGCACCCAGTGCAGGTAAATCATTACTAGTAAAGGTAACTTGTATTGTTAGGTTGCACCCAGTGCAGGTAAATCATTACTAGTAAAGGTAACTTGTATTGTTAGGTTGCACCCAGTGCAGGTAAATCATTACTAGTAAAGGTAACTTGTATTGTTAGGTTGCACCCAGTGCAGGTAAATCATTACTAGTAAAGGTAACTTGTATTGTTAGGTTGCACCTTGTAGTGCAGGTAAATCATTACTAGTAAAGTGCAGGTAAATCATTACTAGTAAAGGTAACTTGTATTGTTAGGTTGCACCCAGTGCAGGTAAATCATTACTAGTAAAGGTAACTTGTATTGTTAGGTTGCACCCAGTGCAGGTAAATCATTACTAGTAAAGGTAACTTGTATTGTTAGGTTGCACCCAGTGCAGGTAAAGGTAACTTGTATTACTAGTAACTAGTAAAGGTAACTTGTATTGTTAGGTTGCACCCAGTGCAGGTAAATCATTACTAGTAAAGGTAACTTGTATTGTTAGGTTGCACCCAGTGCAGGTAAATCATTACTAGTAAAGGTAACTTGTATTGTTAGGTTGCACCCAGTGCAGGTAAATCATTACTAGTAAAGGTAACTTGTATTGTTAGGTTGCACCCAGTGCAGGTAAATCATTACTAGTAAAGGTAGGTAAATCATTACTGTAAAGGTAACTTGTTAGGTTGCACCCAGTGCAGGTAAATCATTACTAGTAAAGGTAACTTGTATTGTTAGGTTGCACCCAGTGCAGGTAAATCATTACTAGTAAAGGTAACTTGTATTGTTAGGTTGCACCCAGTGCAGGTAAATCATTACTAGTAAAGGTAACTTGTATTGTTAGGTTGCACCCAGTGCAGGTAAATCATTACTAGTAAAGGTAACTTGTATTGTTAAAGTGTAAAATCATTACTAGTAAAGGTAACTTGTTTGTTAGGTTGCACCCAGTGCAGGTAAATCATTACTAGTAAAGGTAACTTGTATTGTTAGGTTGCACCCAGTGCAGGTAAATCATTACTAGTAAAGGTAACTTGTATTGTTAGGTTGCACCCAGTGCGCACCCAGGTAAATCATTACTAGTAAAGGTAACTTGTATTGTTAGGTTGCACCCAGTGCAGGTAAATCATTACTAGTAAAGGTAACTTGTATTGTTAGGTTGCACCCAGTGCAGGTAAATCATTACTAGTAAAGGTAAAGGTTGCACCCAGTGCAGGTAAATCATTGTATTAAAGGTAGGTTGGATGCACCCAGTGCAGGTAAATCATTACTAAAGTAAAGGTAAATCATTACTAGTAAAGGTAACTTGTATTGTTAGGTTGCACCCAGTGCAGGTAAATCATTACTAGTAAAGGTAACTTGTATTGTTAGGTTGCACCCAGTGCAGGTAAATCATTACTAGTAAAGGTAACTTGTATTGTTAGGTTGCACCCAGTGCAGGTAAATCATTACTAGTAAAGGTAACTTGTATTGTTAGGATGCACCCAGTGCAGGTAAATCATTACTAGTAAAGGTAACTTGTATTGTTAGGTTGCACCCAGTGCAGGTAAATCATTACTAGTAAAGGTAACTTGTATTGTTAGGTTGCACCCAGTGCAGGTAAATCATTACTAGTAAAGGTAACTTGTATTGTTAGGTTGCACCCAGTGCAGGTAAATCATTACTAGTAAAGGTAACTTGTATTGTTAGGTTGCACCCAGTGCAGGTAAATCATTACTAGTAAAGGTAACTTGTATTGTTAGGTTAGGTGCACCCAGTGCAGGTAAATCATTACTAGTAAAGGTAACTTGTGTATTGTTAGGCAGGTGCACCCAGTGCAGGTAACCCAGTGCAGGTAAATCATTACTCTTGTATTGTTAGGTTACCCAGTAGTAAATCATTACTAGTAAAGGTAACTTGTATTGTTAGGTTGCACCCAGTGCAGGTAAATCATTACTAGTAAAGTGCAGGTAACTTGTATTGTTAGGTTGCACCCAGTGCAGGTAAATCATTAGTAGTAAAGGTAACTTGTATTGTTAGGTTGCACCCAGTGCAGGTAAATCATTACTAGTAAAGGTAACTTGTATTGTTAGGTTGCACCCAGTTCAGGTAAATCATTCCTATTAAAGGTAACTTGTATTGTTAGGTTGCACCCAGTGCAGGTAAATCATTACTAGCATGCAGGTAACATTTCCCACTATTTTTATTGTGGCATGTATTAGGTGAATCAATAACCAGAACCTAAAAGTGTCAACAGTCTGTTTCCATACGTATCAGTCGGTTACGTAGGCCACACGTTTCACACAGTCTTGTGACATTATATGGAAGGCCAGATATCAACCCAGTACATTGCATGCATTAATGAACATGTTGATTTTGCCAAACGGAAAAGAAACTGCATAGTTTAAAGAAAATGTCAGTTTGAAAGCAACAACCTATCAAAACATTCTTCCAGATATATAGTAGTGTGAGCTTTTCTGGAGATAGTGAAGTTGGTTATTACTATACCTCTCACCCTGCTGTTAAACAATGTCGGTTGTCAGTTACACCTACAGGATGTTTATAACATGGCGCAGGCAATATTTTGATGGTGCAACCTGATTAATTCACTTGGTTCAACCTATACATCCATGATGCGTAACTTGTATAGCTCAGTATATATATTTGCCATGACAGGAGGATCAGCATAACATCAACCGGGAAGGAATTTTGACTGCATGTAATTTGGCAACCTTTGAGAGAAAAGACATAAACTTCAAACCGTGTTCAAAATATGTATGTCCGTCTCCCATAAAATTTAAATTACATTAAATTAATTAAAATTGTCGGACCCTTAAGAACCAATAGAATAATCCAAGAGTAATCCTTTTACGACACGCGCGACAGTTTCACCACCACTGAAATACAATATTTTCACTTTTCGGTCAATGGGAGACACCTGTGTTATTGAACACTGAAATGCGTAGCAATATGTTGAAAACCTACACGCTGTTGGTCAATATGTCGATTCAGCATTTCGAAATGGAGACCATTGTCTGATATCGATCTGGCATTTCTTAGTGGAGTGTTCACACACAAACGAAAGTACATTTCTTTGGAGCTAATAATGACAGAGGGGGAATTAATACAGCTTTTATGGAGAAAAGTAAAAGGGGATGTTACAGCTATGAGTTACACCTACGATTATTATAGATTTTGTATAATTAAACACTCGTTCCTTGCCTGTAACTGTGGCACAACACAGTTGTGTGGGAGTATCGCCTTGCATGATAGGGTTCTTGTCCCGTCGGTCGCATGACATGGTTGTATGTGTTTTCATTCAAAGTGTGATGGATTTCTTCAACAGCTGTTTAATTGAAATTAACACCCCTGTAGACATGATAGACGGTGTAAATAAAACACACATGGTCTCAGTGCAGTAGGGTCAGGAATCGCTGTCAATATGGAGGTAGGCAGTAATCTCATCAGAAAGTGAGCCGACGTGAATTAGTTACGACCGCCTGTTGTAAAGAGACAAAGGGGAAGGGAAGGTCGGCGGTTCGATCTCTGTGTCGCGTCATATAGGAGCGTTAAGGTTGAAAACAAAGTTGGAGTCATTTAATAGTGAGGGGTATCAATGGTATTCTGCGGCGCGGTGTGCCATTACATGTGTGACCACACCCATACACACAAACACATACACATCATACACCCACTAAAACAAGTAGACACACACACAAAATCACACAGTCACACATACATACCCACCCAGACAAACACATACACACCATACACCCACTAAAACAAATAGACACACATACAAAATCTGTCACACATACATATCCACCCACACAAACACATACACACCATACATCCACTAAAACAAGTAGACACACACACAAAATCAAACATACATACCCACCCACACAAACACATACACACCATACACTCACTAAAACAAGTAGACACACACACACACAATCACACATACATACATATCCACCCACACAAACACATACACATCATACACCTACACAAACAAGTAGACACACACACACAAAATCACACAGTCACACATACATACCCACCCACACAAACACATACACACCATACACCCACTAAAACAAATGACACACACACAAAATCAGTCACACATACATATCCACCCACACAAACACATACATACGCACACATATGCGAATGCGCGTGGCTGTGAGAGTGAAATAATCCAACCATGTTTAACTCCCCATCTCAACACCTGAACAGCGTAGATGCCTCTCTGTAGTATACTATTCACACTTTGCTAAGGATCAAATCATGGATTCAACAGAAAACTATGATGTGGGGTCAAATTTGGTTTAAATATCTAAGCTTATTGTAAGCATGGATCCTAGGTTTCAGTATGTCATTTCATCTTGTGGATCCCATACCTGCTATTGGCAGGTGTTGTGTACTTGTCAATGACTCATTCCATGATTTGCAAAATGGTTGATTGGTGCCATTAAAACCATTTTTATGGCTACTCATGTATCAAGTGCATAAGGTTAGTTTAAAGTGGCTGTTTGCCTAAAGAGGGGTTACCATATTATCATTTATCCAGTTTTAAATGGATACAATTTCAAATTATAAATCTACGTTTAAGTAAACTTGTGAAATTTTGTGATCCTTAGTAAAGTGTGAGTAGTATATATTGAACGACAACCTCCGTTAATCTAGTAGCTTGTTTGTATTTTTTCCGTTTTAGATGTCCTGGATATTATATTTTCGAGGTGTACAAAGTTGACATAAATGTTTTTCATAACTTCAAACCTCTGCTCCCCCCAGGGCTTGCTGTACCCCTCCTGCTACGGGATATTACGTCACTGGTCCACCCCGCAGGAGAGGGGGAGACTGGGCTCCGCTGTTCTCACAGGTGAGTCATCCCCAGCTAATACACGTGTAATTACATTACTCGCCCGATTGCCCTTTACAGCTTGGCAGCACCATGTCCTGGCGCGATGGTTCCAAATCATGATCACGTGGGAACCGGGGTTCGAACGCAAGATCATAGGTTTCTGACTCGCTGAAGTGAATATCGTATTAGGTCTTACAAGACTGGGCCTCCTGTTGTTGAATATTTGGAATAAACCCTTGGCTGAGCGCACATATAAACCAGCCCGCTCCATAAACATGCAAATGTATGGCATATTGATGATGGAGACATTGACATGACGGCTTCCAAATACCACCAGTACACAGGTTAATATACAGTCAATGTTACATATTCTTTGTTCCTGCTGAGCACTTAAACCATTCAATCCCAATAAACTTATTCTCAACAACAAATCCGAAATTTTAACGGTTAATTCAGGATCGTAAACCAACATTCTGTGTTCTGGAATTAACATAACTTTTTATTGCATTTAAATCTGAGTCATGACAACGGATTCTCCGCTGTTCTGAGAAATAAAACCAAAACGACTACACCCCGCAGCCATTAAACTGACACTGCAGGCGTCAAATTAAGTTTATGGCCGAATGCTGTTGGTGTACTGGTAACTGTTGTATTGAACTACTATATGAGCTTGCATAGGGAAACATCTTTGTTCCGGGTATGCATGTAAGCTATATTTCAAAGCATATATTTACTCAATTCATGTCGCAGCGGGGATCTACTGAGTGTACAGGCGCGCACGCTTTATCACAAGAACAGGAGACCGATGTTTCGAATAAAATATCTATTTTATACTTTATAATAAATAAGAGCAAAGTACTTATGGGTAACAACTCATAATGCACTTTTAAAAAGTAGGGTATATAAAAGTATGGGTGATATTATTTGGGAACCATGGTGTATGATTGTGAGGTGAGGTGAGGTGAGGTGAAATTGGGTTAACGTCGTGCTTGAGAATATATCGCTCATATGACGACGTGCATGCGTGTGTATGTGTATGTGCGGCTGCTTGTACTAGCCCAGACTGCAGCTGGTTTTATAGTGCTAGCCCACTGAGATACCATGCCGCAGTGAAGCATGAATACCCCACTCAGACACATTATACTGACTCCGAGCCAACCAGTCCTTGTTGTACCCATTTATGCCGAGCGCCAGGCAGGGACCAACAAGTACCATATTTTAACGTCTTTTGGTATCACGCGGTCGGGTATCGAATCCGCGACCTTCCGCTCTCCGGGCGGACGCTCTAACCACTACGCCACGGAGGCGGTCTTGTGTTGTGAGAGCGAGATTAGTCCTGCAACAGCGCACTATCAAGCGTTACACGTGTCTAGGGTATCTCTAAATCAAAATATAACAGCTTAGTTTGGGGTAATGTAATGGTATACACATTGTAAAGAAAAAAAAGTTTTTAATGTGTATTTAATCTTCAACAGTAAGTATGGTTAAATGAAAAAGAATCCTATTTAAAAAGCAAGTCGTGGTGCAACTAATATATTGTTTAAAATGATAGAAACACTACCCAAGCTGCAAAGGTATTATTTCACGAGCAAAAGAGAACTTGCCCCGTATCCTTGATGTCCGGTCATAAGAACGCGACATATAGGTCACCGGCTATCCGTATTGATACACGGACTGTAATGTATCTGGCATTAACCAAGCCTATATCACTTAACCATAATGATAACTGCCGTGGTTCAGGGCGTATACAGTGCATGGAGTCGATATTCACTAGAACACATGGTACCGTAAAGTCACGAATATAATCCACAGGGGCAGGCTGTATTTCATAAATCATTTATTCGGCTCACGATATCACCAATACTGCTGTCATAATAATTATCGATGTCAATAAATTGGAAATACATCAATCCACCTCTTGCTCCTTCATCAGGCGGAAGCTCTGAAACGTCGTGCTCAGAATAAAGAAGTTGTTATCCATAAAAAGTGTTATGTATTCGTGTTCCTCCAACTTCTACATGCCTATCAAAGACGATATTTATGTAATTTACGACAAATGAGTTTTATGGGGTCGCGTTACTATGTGTTTCATCTGAAACAAAACATAGAAATACAATCAATGTTGTACGTGGATATTGAGAACATGTGTATGCCATTAAACAAATGTCTGTCGCACAGTGTTAAATATTTGAGTGTAAGTGTATACAACGTCGGTCAACGTCAACGTTGTTCGCTGTTCCTGTTCCAGGAGCCTATGCAGGAGCTGTGATCGGCTTCCCCCTGGCCGGCTTCATCACACACTACATCGGCTGGCAGTACATCTACTACGTCAACGGTAAGGGGAGATAATTTCTTCTTTAATGGCGGCTGTCGCGTTTTTCTGGATTTCTTGACCCACAAAATGACGGTGTGCACGCTTTGCGTTAATCCGCTACTTATTTCGAAACGTCAGCAATCATAACATCTCAGAATAACTATATTATGTAATAGTATATAACACTGCACATAACGATGGCAAAATTACATCTCTCAGTACAATAAGGAAACACAAGCGAAAAAGGTAGTTCATGCTCTGCTCACTTTTAGCTTTATGAAAAAAACTGATATTCAGTTAGTTAGTATTCTCTTTCATTCGATCATGCCAAATTAAGCCAAATTATCACATGTATATGAGGCTACAAGGAACATCAATGTTGATAAACGTTCTATATTCATGAAAAACCAATTGTTAATTTTTATCACTATCCCACATGATATTCACGATCTTACTAGCCATAATGTCATTTGGGCACACTAAGACTCGTGCCCACATATATCAGGCACTCAGGTTCAATATCAATGTTAATAATTGAAATATACTCATTCATAATTCATCCAGCCATTTAAGAATTCAATTTGAAATGAATTCTTAATATGGAGACGTTGGGGACACCAATATGTTTTTAGAAAATGCATGCCCTAGCTCCCAGTGTTCTTTCCTGCTCGCTGTTTTGATGCAATGCTTCTCACGAAAAATTGTGATGCATTCCGTTCCTCTGTAGGTGGCGCTGGTGTGTTGTGGATGTTGGTGTGGGTGCTGATGTCGAGTGAAAAGCCGTCGCACCACAGACGCATCAGCGACTCGGAGCTGCTTTACTTACAGAAATCCCAAGGCAGCCAGGTCGTCGACTTTCAGGTAAATTGCCGATTACAGGTGGCACAATGATAGGCGTGAGTTGGGATGAGTCTGCCTTGGTCAGTGTTAAAGTTATATAAGGTTTGAGCATCGCTCAGGGCGACACGGGTCCTTTGCGTAACAAAACCAAAGACCTCTTCTCATCCAACTACTCTTCCATCGTTTCCGCTGACAACATCGTCAGTCCAAAGTGCCCCTAGATCGTTTCTGCAAAACGTGTTCTTCTGTCAGATCGTTATGGGTGGAAGATGTCTTCTAATAGACCTTGGTACCACATATTTCAAGTCATCTTCAGCTGACTGTTCTAAGAATTGTCTGTGGGCTACCTACCGTTTCCTCCATGTAAATATAGAACCTTCACCGGCCTTTCATATGGTGGCTGATTAGGGCCATCGCTTTGTTAGGCACCATACTTTCACTAATACTCCGGAATCTCGTCGAACCTGGCTCATATCGCTTTGACTAAAACCAGGGATACTCTACAACAGGGATAGGTCACTCGCTTGCTTTCTTTACCATTTGTACTAATTAGCGTGTGCCTCGTCATGCTCCAACGCACACAGTGACTTGGTTCGTTCCCAGCGCAACTTCAGCTGCGTTTAACAGTACTTCAGCCAGTTTATTAATTGTATCAGTCGGAATTTTACAATGAATGAATGAATGAATGAATGAATGAATGAATGAAGAGCAATGGCATGGACATTGACAGAATGTTAACTGACACTGTCACACACCCCTCAAAAACAGAAACTATCACAAAGCGTTGTAAACACCTTTCCAGTTTTGTCAAATACTAAGATCAACAAGAAAGAAAGAAGTTTTAGAACTATAACTCTCAAGCACCACAAGCATCAATTTTTGATGCCGGATCAGAACAGATCGGCGATATGTCATATTTTTCACACACATCAAATACACCCTAACAGTTTTACTAAAATTATAAGACTATCACTATTACTCGCAAATACCTTTCAACTGAAGTTATATTCCCCTCATAAAAATTAAAGGTGTATGTGAAAGAAGATTCTTAGAATGATAACTAGAAACACTTAAACATCGCCATGTAGTATTTCAATGGCGGCTCAGATCAGATCGGCGATATGTCATATTTATCACACACCTCAAATACACCCTAACACATTTTTTTTTAAATTATAAAACTATCACTATTACTTGCAAACACCTTTGAACTAAAGGTATATTTCCCTTCTAAAAATGAAATGAATATGTGAAAGAAATTTTATCGATAGAATTTAGTCTTTCTTCGCTGTGTACTGAAGCCAGTGAGCTACTATGCCGACTTGAAACTTTACTACAAATCTACTGTACTAATACTGACACTAATAACAATTATTTGACTTAAAATGAAGTGACAGAATATGTGACTTTCCTTCTACATGAAGGTTTTCAGTTGTCACAACACTCAGCGAATGTACTCAGCACTTGAAAATAAATCAGGCTCAATCTTAAAAATTAAGCTTCCGCCATATTGGCTAAACTGGTCACGTGACGAGTGGAGGCATATACCTCGATGGCTTGTCGATAAAAGGCCACTCCCCGTCTTCTATTCTCCCCTGTTAATACTGACAACTAATTAAGAAACACATATTGGCTTAGAACATTCAATACTTTTTCACCAAATGCTCGAGATTATATGGTTACGACAAAAGAAATAGCTACTAGATCACGTAAACTGAGTGGCTTCTCCTTGTCGACATCTGTAAATAATAAACAATGTAATGATTATTTTAAAAAGCGTGTGATACTTCAGTTTCCACGCAGACCTCGCCATTGTTAAAGCGCGACCCAGCTGTGATGCTCAGTAATAGCAGTAATCACGTGACGAGTGTTTCTGTCTGATTGTAAATGTTTATGATGATGGTTCCACACATGTTGCCACCAAACTGATCAACTACAGCTTACCAACCTGACAGGTAGCGATGTGAGAGTAATTGTTTAGTTTGGCTTGCCAGGTAGTCACGATCAGGCGTTTTATGAATTTTAATCACATTTATGTTTACAGGTAACACAGTTATGATACATATGGAATGTCTGCATGTACCTAGGTTAATTAAACATATCCTGCTGTGGTAGAGTAAAATTGATTATTATTTTATTATAATATGATATTTACATAGCGCACATATCCATGCAACTAGTACATGCTCGAGGCAATGGTATTTCCCTCGATCATTGGCCGTCAATCTCAACGGCACATTTTATTTTCAATCTCAACTCCCTGGGGAGCATACAACTCTTGCAGCAATTAGGCGCACCGAGCATTGCGGCTTTCCCATCCTTACGAGGTACCCATTCACAGCTGGGTGGACTGGGACACATAGTCACAGTACTTTGTCCAAGTTGTACTGCACGTTGCTGTACCTGCAACTAGGTGTTTGCACGTATTCATGTGGCCACCATCTGGTCATCTACCAACAGATTCGTGGGTTCTTTTAAGTGCACAGGGTTGTGTACTGTACACTAGGGGTTGTGACAGCGCTGAAAGAGTCTGCACACAAAGTTGACTCCAAGGTTTTTACACCCGGTCACAGGTGGGCTCGATCCCGACACCTCAAGCTAAACTAACCTCAATATAAACTAACCTCTGAGCTACATTCTAAAATTTAGGATTGTGCCTACAAACACACTGAAACCTGACTGATCCAGACGTGAAGTTCTCAGAGGAATGAGAACAGCTTTACGATACGGGAATTGTAAATTTGAATAATGTTTTGCATGATGGGGGTTCCCAACTCTATTGGGGGCGATGGGGTAGCCAGTGGTTAAAGCGTCCGCTCGTCAGGCCGATGACCCGAGTTCGATTCCCAGCATGGGTACAATTTGTGAAGTCCATTTCTGGTGTCCCCCGACGTGATACTGCTGGAAAACTGCTCAACTCACTCACTCACGGTTCTTGCTGTTTGATATTTGATATGTTTGTCCATAATCGCGCGCTGCCAATGTCACTTTGTGACATCGTTACCATTTTGTATAAACGGACAATATTTGCAAAATCATTTTTTCATTCTTTCAGGAATCATGGTTACCCTGGAAACGCATAATTATTTCACCTGCTGTGATAGCCCTCTGCTTCTGCCATTTTGCCAGGAACTGGGTGTTTATTTTAATGTTAACGAACGAACCTTTCTACCTGAGCTTATTTGGATTTAACATAGCTGAGGTATGTATACTTTGTTCAACCATGCTTTTTGTTTCTCGACATATGTTCGTAGTTTTAGCGTCCAAATCATGTCCATCAAAGTTTGATATTCTAGTAAACGTCTCTCCCAGATAGTGAAAGAGTTTGAACAGTAAAATGAACAATATTTAACCCTTTTTCCGTACGGCAAACTCGAAGCACAGGTTAAACAGAAAATGGCCGTTAGATTACGCTTCCTTGACGTAACCTTGACCTTTCAGAACGGCGTGTACTCCTCGCTGCCCCACATATTGAAGGTGCTGCTGGCGTTCGCAAGCGGCTACATCGCAGACTGTCTGCTGCTGAGGAGCAAGCTGAGAACAGTCACGGTTAGGAAGCTTCTAACAGGAATAGGTAATGCTGACCTTTAGTGCTGGAGTTAACGTCGTTAAAACAACGTTCCAGTAATATCAAGGCGCCTTGTCAGTAGTCGAATTTGAACCAGACAAACCAGTGACTGAGACGCGACCAACAATCCAAAGCAGCGAATTAGTTTCTACCAAAGCCTAATACTGCCACTTTTGTGAATTTTTTCGTTGCCTCAACTATTTTCCCGTTACTTTGAGTATTTTTTCGTTCTTTGACTTTCTTTCAAGGGCTTAAAATTTCAAGTATTTTCTTGCTATATCAGGTTTCCTTAAAAAAACTTGAAATTTCAAGTATGTACTCGTTACTTGAAGCAAAGAGAAAATTGTGGATGCCATGCAATCAACTGAGCTACCACCAATTATAATCAATACCGTGCTTGGTCATGATAGGCGCACAGAAACAATTCCAGTATTCTGCATACAACAGTAAAGTCTTATATACATGGAACACATGCATTTGTTAATGATTCTATCATACCTTCTCAACGGGTGGGGTAGCCTAGTGGTTAAAGCGTTCGCTCGTCACGCCGGTTCGATTCCCCGCTTGGGTACAATGTGAGAAGCCTATATCTGGTGTCCACCGCCGTGATATTGCTGGAATATTGGTAAAAGCGGCGTAAAACCATACTCACTCACTCATACCTTGTCGTATTTGACCAGTGAGCTTATTACCAGCTAACGTTGGTGCATGAGGAAACGTTGGTGCATTGTGACATAATACCTTCTGTTTCTGTTTCAGCGTTCGGGGTTCAGACTCTGTCGTTCTTCATCCTCACCTTTATACGGAACAAGGTATCTGTGATCGTCTTTCTCACTTTCGGAGTGGGCTTTGGCGGCCTAGCGGTGTCAGGTATGTTATGTTGATCGTGATCATTGTCGTTATTGTCTTTAGAAACCGTTACCTCACATAAATACTGGCGTTCTGATATAAATAAACGGACACAACAATTAATCGCTATAATGAGCAGGGTCTAGATTTTCGAAGCTCTCTTAGCGCTAAGATAGTCGTAAGTGCCATACATTAGCATTAACTTACGACCCTCTTAGCGCTAAGAGAGCTTCGAAAATCTAGGCCCAGGACGCTAGCATTCTATACTGTACATACTGAGCCTTATAACCCGTGAAGGTCCGGGTTAGAATTGATCTTCAGTAACCCATGCTTGTTGGGATCGGGTGGACCGGCTCGCTAACTGGGTTGACACATGTCATCGTATCCCAATTGCATAGATCGATGTTCATGCTGTTGATCACTGGAGTGTCTGGTCCAGACTCGATTATTTACAGACCGCCGCCATATAGCTGAAATATTGCTGAGTGCGGCGTAAAACTAAACCCACTCACTCACTCAATCACTGAGCCTTATATGTTGAGGTGAGATGAAATTAATGTCGTGTTTAAGATTAGCCGACTGAGATAGTATGCCGCAGATTTGACAAAGATACCGATTCCAAGATTGCCGGTCTTTGATTAATGCCCTCATTCCGACCGCCCAGCACCATGTTTAACGACTAGTGGTATGACATACCCCGGATATGCAACCACTGGCCTTGCACTAACCGGACACCGGCTTATCCACTACATATGGGTGGGGTCTCCGGATGTGTTAGGGAGCGACAGTTCTATATGATATATCTACGTAGCATGGGAAGGTGCGATGTTTCAAGGCTTACACTTTGGGCACGCAATTGTTGGCGATGCTGCTACAGTCTGTTGCCACGCCATATGTCATTGAGGTGTTGCTGGTGACGGTTCTGCAGATGAAGCTCTATAGGCCTATGTACACACCTTCATCTCCGGCAAATAGGTGACGGTTAGTACATAGGGGATGGTGACACATTGTGTAAATGGTTAGTTCAGCTGCTAGATGGGGTATCTAGTAATCTAAGCCAATGAGAAACGAATATATGGCATTGGCACGTTTTACTGACAATACTCTTCTTTTTGCTCTGTCAAAGTTAGGTACAGCATTTACAGAAATTGAAAGTTTATTTTCTGAAACGCCTAGAAATAGTAGTGTCGCGTATTAGTGTTCTGAGTGAATGAGTATATTTTTACGCCGCTTTTAGCAATATTCCAGCAATGCAACGGCGGAGGACACCAGAAATGGGCTTCACACATTGTACCCATGTTGGGAATCGAACCCGGGTCTTTGGTGCGACAAGCGAACTCTAGGTTACCCACGCCCACTTCAGTGTTCTGAAAATGTAGTGGCAGAGATAACTAACGCGAACCCTTTGTGTTTTAGGAGCATCAATTTTGACAAAATCAATTCTATCGATAGACGATGTGTACTGAAGAGCAGTAGTTTTGTAACTTTGAGGTATTAACGGTTCTGTGATATTCGTATATGCCGATATACACTGACGGTGGCTGTGGACTACATTAGGACGTCGTCACTGTTCGTGTGAGTGAGTGGTTAACGGCAATATCACGGCCTCACAAATTATCCTACCTCATACGTAAAACATCTTACAACATACCAGCCGCGTTTGGTGAGCGAAAAAATATCAACAAAGAATAATAAAAAGTCCTTTAATTGTGTAACCTATATTAGGAAAATGTGAAATGTGAAAGACAAAGCTACAGTCACTTCATTTATGACGTAGATCAAATCGCTTTGCTTCTGAACGAATTTTTAATAATATAGCTTAATTAAGATCAAGCCGACTGTGGTATTTAATGGTATTCAATGGTAAGAGTATAGCTAATCACGCGGGGTCATTATGATCCACAGCGGTAGAGAAAGTGAGGAAAGAAGGCCCTGTGTTGTTTCATGTCGGAATGAAAATGTAGGGCGAGATGGTGAACGCGTGAGTGAGTGAGTGAGTGAGTATTGCTTAACGACGTATCAGCAATGATGCAGCTATTCGCGACGAGTGGTGAAAGTTGAACGTTAGATATAACTACATGCAGTTTTATAGATCGGTGAATTTATACGGCTTGTGTTGGATACCAAACACAGTCACAGATGGCGGATGTCAATAAATCAGGGACCTATCACGTCATGTAAATGTTGATGGCAGATTTTGTTTCGGCGAAATTGGTTTTGTTTAGAGTGGAGACGCCAAACATTAGTCAGATCATCCGATGGAATATTTTTCGAATATGTGGCTAAATTATCTCCAGTATTCTCCGAAACAAATTATGTTTCAGTATATAGGAATATTGAATATTTAGACCCTTGTTTGAAATCCAGTATTAAAGTAATCTGAGACAGACTGTCCATTAACGTGCATTAAACACAGAACATTTATCCTACGGTTAAGTTCCAGGCAGCTTACTTCATCAGGTTGTACTCAGTAAATAAGTGTGTTTACACAAATTGTTTTGACATCAGTCGTATAGCAGCTAAGAGTAGTTTATTTTAAGTCAGTTGTCATTTATTAACCTTATGGTTCAGGGTCTCCATTGTATGTTCTTATACCAATCAAAATCTACATTGTTGGTAAATATATATATGATACAGTTGCACTGCTATAGGTACTTATTGATCCTGGTGAGGGGACCGCCTCCGTGGTGTAGTGGTTAGAGCGTCCGCCCGGAGAGCGGCAGGTCGCGGGTTCGATCCCCGGTCGCGTCATACCAAAAGACGTTAAAATATGGTACTTGTTGGTCTCTGTCTGGCGCTCGGCATTAATGGGTACAACAAGGACTGGTCAGCTCGGAGTCAGTATAATGTGTCTGAGTGGGGTATTCATGCTTCACTGCGGCATGTTATCTCAGTGGGCTAGCACTATAAAACCAACTTAAGTCTGGGCTAGTACAAGCAGCCGCACATACCCATACACACGCATGCACGTCGTCATATGAGCGAAATATTCTCAAGTACGACGTAAAACCCAATTTCACCTCACCTCACCACCTGGCGAGGGAAGACAAAGGTGACCAAATTACCACAAGTTAACTTTACAATGGCGCCTATTACGTACATCAGCTGGATTGAGGCTGGGCGGTCGGCTGTCCAGTTCTCAAACTCGGCCCTACCACACACGCACGCACGCGCGCACACGCAGCACACACCACACTCATAACACACATATAACACATACAAAACACACCGCACATTCACTACACGACACGAACCCACTACTACCCAATTCACCTGTCATCATCACACACGATGTGTGACAACGGGAGGATGGAGATCAAGCTCTCCAACTGTAACGTTACCCTGATTAGTGAGATCAGGGACGTCTTCAACGCTTCCTTTTAGTTTGGACCTAGTCTCATGACAAATAGGGGCGGTGGGGTAGCCAGGTGGTTAAAGCGTTGGCTCGTCACGCCGAAGACCCGGGTTCGAATCCCCACATGGGTACAATGTGTGAAGCCCATTTCTGGTGTCCCCCGCCGTGATGTTGCTTGAATATTGCTAAAAGCGGCGTAAAACCAAACTCAGTCAGTCAGTCATGACAAATATAAACGTATCTGACGATTTTTATATACTCCGCATGACTTCCGCCCTACTCCCAGCCTGTTAGCTTCTTCTTGTAGCAAACAGCTACCACTGATGTAGGTCATACATTTAATATTGATTCCAAGCGACATTAGATGGTGTAATGTCTCTGCGAAGATGACATGTGTTCGCAGCTCTAGGATCTCTCATGTCATCTGTGTCCGCTTTGGTTTGGTTGTCTGTTGTTTGTTCAACGTCTGACAACATTCCAACTATATAGCGGCGGTCTGTAAATAATCGAGTCTGGAATCCAGCGATAAACAGCATGAGCATCGATCTGCACAATTGGGACACGATGACATGTGTCAAGCAGGGTGCCGTTGTACAAAGCGATCTTAGCACATTGGTGATCGTAACTCGCATACCTTACCTTAACATAGACTTACGACTGGCGTAGCGTTAACATTGTTTTGTACAACGGCACCCAGGGCCTAGATTTTCGAAGCTCTCTTAGCGCTAAGATAGTAGTAAGTGCCATATCTTAACAGTAACTTACGACTATCTAAACGCTAAGAGAGCTTCGAAAATCTAGGCCCAGGTTAGTAAGCCCGACCACCCGATCCCGTTAGTCTTCTCTACGACAAGCATGGGCTGCTGAAGATCAATATTCTAACCCGGATCTTCTCGGGTAATCTGTGTTTGCAGAAGGATGAAGGAAAGTCGTCTGTGGACTGTTTGTAATGTAGAGGTGTTTGTTTCTTCCAGGTTGGCAGATTAATCACTACGATCTCTCCACACGACACGCCTCGTTCCTGGTGGGTGTGACGTCAACGATTGGCGTCTTGGGGGCTATTGCTGCGCCCCTGGTGGCGGGGGAGCTAACTGTTAATGAGGTACAAGCACAACACGTCAATGACATGTTACGTAAAGAAGCCAGTGAAGCAAGTTTCTTTGTCTCAAAGCGAACATAACTCTATATTCTTAAAGAGATACAGGTTCCTCATCCTCAAAGTATTGCGAGTCTCTTCTTTTAGAGTGAAGTTTGCTTTCGATTCTCTGTTTCAAGGACTTAGAAGGCTGGAGGCACGTGTTCTACATCACCGTCGGCGTAGTCGCAGTAGCTGCCATACTGTTTATGATATTAGGTTCAGGTGAGTTTTGTCGCAGTCACCAATCAACTCATGTGAGATTTACAGCCACAAGTGAGTTTATCGACACCTAATAGAACCAGGTGAGATTAACAATCACCTATTAGGTCCAGGTGAGATTTACAATCCCCCATTAGAACCAGGTGAGATTTACAATCCCCCATTAGAACCAGGTGAGATTACAATCACCTATTAGGTCCAGGTGAGATTAACAATCACCTATTAGGTCCAGGTGAGATTAACAATCCCCCATTAGAACCAGGTGAGATTAACAATCACCTATTAGGTCCAGGTGAGATTAACAATCACCTATTAGGTCCAGGTGAGATTAACAATCCCCCATTAGGTCCAGGTGAGATTAACAATCACCTATTAGGTCCAGGTGAGATTAACAATCACCTATTAGGTCCAGGTGAGATTAACAATCCCCCATTAGGTCCAGGTGAGATTAACAATCACCTATTAGGGCCAGGTGAGATTAACAATCACCTATTAGGTCCAGGTGAGATTAACAATCACCTATTAGGTCCAGGTGAGATTAACAATCCCCCATTAGAACCAGGTGAGATTAACAATCACCTATTAGGTCCAGGTGAGATTAACAATCCCCCATTAGAACCAGGTGAGATTAACAATCACCTATTAGGTCCAGGTGAGATTAACAATCCCCCATTAGAACCAGGTGAGATTAACAATCACCTATTAGGTCCAGGTGAGATTAACAATCACCTATTAGGTCCAGGTGAGATTAACAATCCCCCATTAGGTCCAGGTGAGATTAACAATCACCTATTAGGTCCAGGTGAGATTAACAATCCCCCATTAGAACCAGGTGAGATTAACAATCACCTATTAGGTCCAGGTGAGATTAACAATCACCTATTAGGTCCAGGTGAGATTAACAATCCCCCATTAGGTCCAGGTGAGATTAACAATCACCTATTAGGTCCAGGTGAGATTAACAATCACCTATTAGGTCCAGGTGAGATTAACAATCACCTATTAGGTCCAGGTGAGATTAACAATCCCCCATTAGAACCAGGTGAGATTAACAATCACCTATTAGGTCCAGGTGAGATTAACAATCACCTATTAGGTCCAGGTGAGATTAACAATCACCCATTAGAACCAGGTGAGATTAACAATCACCTATTAGGTCCAGGTGAGATTAACAATCCCCCATTAGAACCAGGTGAGATTAACAATCACCTATTAGGTCCAGGTGAGATTAACAATCACCCATTAGGTCCCAGTGAGATTAACAATCCCCCATTAGAACCAGGTGAGATTAACAATCCCCCATTAGGTCCAGGTGAGATTAACAATCACCTATTAGGGCCAGGTGAGATTAACAATCACCTATTAGGTCCAGGTGAGATTAACAATCACCCATTAGAACCAGGTGAGATTAACAATCACCTATTAGGTCCAGGTGAGATTAACAATCCCCCATTAGAACCAGGTGAGATTAACAATCACCTATTAGGTCCAGGTGAGATTAACAATCACCCATTAGGTCCCAGTGAGATTAACAATCCCCCATTAGAACCAGGTGAGATTAACAATCCCCCATTACAACCAGGTGAGATTAACAATCACCTATTGGGTCCAGGTGAGATTTTAACCTTATATTTTCATACAACCCAAAAAGTAAGCACCAGATAGTATAATAGGCTGGGGCAAGGATTCATACAATTAAGTATAAATGCATACTTAAGACCATCAGTATATAAACCACCAAGAACTCGACGTACTGATTTAGCCTGTTCATTAATTGCGAAGTTTACGTACAAATGTTCACTGAGCCACCGACCAAGATGTTATAGTTGTTGCTATACCTCAGATGGTTCTGCTAATTACAAAATTAGTTGTGGAACCATATTTATTGGCAGGTTGGTAAATCTACAATCTTACTGTGGTCGCTGCTTTTAACACAATTCATTAAAAACATAAATCCTAGACATATCGTATTTGTCTACGATCCAGTGAGTCTGACCAAATGGCCTACGTGTCATAATGACTCACTGATCTAAAGTAACACCACATTATGTTATCACTATGCTGAGGACAATGAAATGACCCCTTGGACACGGTGTAGACAAAATTCAAGTGACCACTCTCTCCGATTTCTATACCAGAAACCCCGTGTTTATATCAGGTATATATCACTGCCAGATTAAAGTTGATATTTATCATACATAAAATGTATTTGTATATGAACACTTTGAACAGATTAAATATTTTACTTAATGGTTTCTCGATCACGTGACTAATACTTGGTACTAAGCCCAGGAACAAACGACAGCGCGGTCCTCAGTACTGCACTGAAACACCTCCCATTCTGTGTCCTAGACATAAACCCGCCATTATGACAGCTACAATGCCATGACTTACGGTTAATCAATGGGAGGTAAAAGTGGCTTGTATAGTTCCACAGCCTTGACGATACTGTTCGTTGACCAGTTCATAAATATTGGAGTGAATGGGTCAATTTGGTCGAACGCCACTTTAAACAGAATCTGTTTTATAAGGGTGTGTCGGAACACCCAAAGATCTTAGGTCTCAGGCAGTTGGCAGTTTGATGAAGACACAGGTACGGGTATGGTGCTGAAAAACAGGGTGGACCCGGATTCGAACCCGGACACTGTCCATAGTGGCATGTCGAACATAGCCAAGGAAGGCAGGTCTCATCAGTGTACGACTATGACTCTTGGGAGGTACTCGGGATCTGGGACCCGGATGAGTCTCAAAACACTTAATTTCAGCCTGCCTACCAAATTTCAGTGAAGAACATGGACGACGGATATACCTGTGAACTCTTCACCCCCCAGCGTCAGATTTGCATAATGTAACTAAAATAGGTCTATATGTTTGGATACTTATGTCTGCGTGTAATTAATTCAACCAGTAATTAGTGATATTCATATATGGTAATGACTAAAGCAGTGTATTCATCCTATATTGGATTGTATGACAGCCGTGTATCTGTACTGGAGATTGTAGCTGGTGATATTAAGACACATTATAGCAGATAAAAACACTGAAAAATATCTAATTTCCCGATAAACAGACCGAAAACTATACTATCAGCTGATAAACAAAGACCATTAAAACATCTGAACAAACAGACAAGAAATTTCTATCTTCTATTGAGTACATTCACAGAAAACGTATGATCATGATAAGAGGCTAATCGAGATTTACACCCTTTGGTTTTGTATTAGTCTACAAGGAATCAGATATAAAGTATGGTTGTGTATAACTGATATACGAGCAAAGAGAGGCTTGCATTATAACAGATTGGCGTTGAGAGAAGCCAGCTTTGTAAGAAATTTCATGTTGGTGGGGGACTTACTTTATATAGCACACTGGCGTTGAGGGGAGTCTAACTTAGTAAGATATCGATGCTGATGAGAGCGTATAGGTGTTGACGGGGAGCTGTCTTTTTAACATAAAGGTGTTGACAGGAGACTCTTTATGACATAGGTCTTGACGGGAGGCTGTCTTTATAACATATAGGTGTTGACATGAGGATGTCTTTATAACATAAAGGTGTTGACAGGAGACTGTCTGTATAACATATGGGTGTTGACAGGAGACTGTCTTTATAACATATGGGTGTTGACAGGAGACTGTCTTTATAACATATGGGTGTGGACAGGAGACTGTCTTTATAACATGAAGATGTTGACGGGAGGCTGTCTTTATAACATTTAGGGGTTGACATGAGGATGTCTTTATAACATATAGGTGTTTACAGCAGACGGTCTGTATAACATAGGTGTTGACAGGAGGCTGTCTATATAACATGTAGGTGTTGACGGCAGACTGTCTTTATAACATATAGGTGTTGACAGGAGACTCGATTTATAACATATAGGTGTTGACAGGAGGCTGCCTTTATAACATGTAGGTGTTGACAGGAGGCTGTCTTTATAACATGTAGGTGTTGGCGGGAAGCTGTGTATATACTGTGCTGGATGTAATGAAAATAATGTGTGCTGATGTTCAGCTCCTCCAGCCAAAGGGGATACATGTGCAGCTGTGATCACTATGCACGCTTATCATAATCAATGTGAACATGACAATAACTGCTGCCTTTTACCTCAATGTTTGTGCATCATCAGGTGAAGAGCAGCCCTGGGCTACGCCACCTGAGCATATCCGCCTCGTACAGGTACGTTCAATACAGTCAACTGATTCGATCTGGCGCTTGGCAGGTTTTGGTTATGCCGTGGGGGAACTTTGTAACCTCATGCTGTTGAACCTGAAATCGTTGTAATACGTCCAAGTATTGTCATTTCTCATCCTGTTATATTCCTTTACTTTTCTGAGTGAATAAGTCATTGAACTCAGAAACTGTATACTGCTGCTCATGGTATCAACCACTGTTTTGCAGTAAGTGAGTGAGTTTTGTTTTACGTCGCACTCAGCAATATTCCAGCTGTATGGCGGATGTTAGTAAATAATCGAACCTGGACCAGACAATCCAGTAATCAAAGGCATGATCTACTGGGATTGAGATACGATGTCATGTGTCAACCAAATCAGTGAGCCTCACCACCCGACCCCTTTAGGCGCCTCTTACGACAAACATTTGTAACTGAAAATCAATTCTAACCCGGATCTTCACGGGTCACTGGTTTTGGGGTCACCGGGAAGTATTTGATATAGTGCTGACCGCGGCGTAATACAACAATCACTCAGTCGGTTTACTGTTAGCACGTGTCCCATGGTTACTGCGATCGGCTGAGAAGAGTTATGTCCCTTTGGCATACCAGAAACCAGTTATTTGGATTTGAATCCCCTATTTTCCAGGTGTATATTTCTAGTTTTGTCAGCAACCAATGACAGGACCTGCATCACTGCAGACTCTCCCCCACTACAAGCTGACACGTCTACGTATGACTTAAATAGTGTTCAGAGCCCTCACTGCCTCGCTATATGTGATGTTCCGAGTTAGGACCTGGCGCCCGTTTCACGAAGCTCTCGTAGCGCTACGACTATCGTAAGTCAATGTTACAGTATAGGAAGTACGAATGCTACGTGAAAAGTTACGAGATCTTAGGCTTACGAGAGCTTTGTGAAACGGGGCCCTGTCTTGTTAAAGGCGACTAACAGGATCAGGTGGTCAGCCTGGCTGACTTGTTGATGCATGTCATCGTATCCCAGTCGCGTAGATCTATGCTCACGATGTCGATCACTGGATTGCGTGGTCCGGACTCGAGTATTTAGTGACCGCCGTCTAATGGCTGGATTATTGCTGAGTGCGGCGTTAATGAACAAACCCATAAAACAATCTCACTATTACTTTTAAGTTGATTCATAGGAAACCTAACGATTGCTTCCTCTCTCACAGAAAACTGACCCGCTGGCCAAACGTCCCTATAAAACATTTACAGTGCAAGGCTCTAAACGACCAGTGGAGGTGACAACACCATATAATATCGCAACAGAGAAAGACTCTGCCAACGACAATGTTGCCCCGGTAAAAGATGACAGCCACGAAGACGTCGCCGTTTCAGATGAGCAGAAATCTACATCATGAGGATTTGTGTACAAGTAGAAATATTGAAACATTATTTAACGTGTATATAAATGTACAGAGTACCTACCAAAAAGGACAGTGAATAAGTACCAAAACAGCTTTACCATATGACAGCTGCGATATACCAATTGTGATATGTAAATAGACGTGTAGGAAGGGGTGGTTAGCCAAACTGTAGTCTATAACCCTGTATCTAAACAGAATTAAGTTTATGATTGTAGTCATACAACATGCTTCTCTTGGGGCTTCAAGACATACTATATACCTCTGTCAGTGCTTCAAGACATACTATATACTTCTGTCACTGCTCCAAGACATACTATAATCTTCTGTTACTGTTTCAAGACGTACTATATACTTGTGTCAGTGCTTCAAGACATAATATATACCTCTGTCAGTGCTCTATGACATACTATATACTACTGTCAGTGCCTCAAGACATACTATATACCTCTGTCAGTGCTTCAAGACATACTATATACTTCTGTCAGTGCTCCAAGATATACTATATACTTCTGTCACTGTTTCAAGACATGATATATACTTCTGTCAGTGCTTCAAGACATACTATATGCCTGTGTTAGTGCTTCAAGACATACTATATACCTCTGTCAGTGCCTCAAGACATACTATATATCACTGTCAGTGCTTCAAGACATACTATAAACCTCTGTCAGTGCTTCAAGACATACTATGTGCCTGTGTCAGTGCTTCAAGACATACTATATACTTCTGTCACTGCTCCAAGACATACTATATTCTTCTGTCACTGTTTCAAGACGTACTATATACTTGTGTCAGTGCTTCAAGACATAATATATACCTCTGTCAGTGCTCTATGACATACTATATACTGCTGTCAGTGCCTCAAGACATACTATAGGCCTGTGTTAGTGCTTCAAGACATACTATATACCTCTGTCAGTGCCTCAAGACATACTATATATCACTGTCAGTGCTTCAAGACATACTATAAACCTCTGTCAGTGCTTCAAGACATACTATATGCCTGTGTCAGTGCCTCAAGACATACTATAGGCCTGTGTCAGTGCTTCAAGACATACTATATACCTCTGTCAGTGCCTCAAGACATACTATATATCACTGTCAGTGCTTCAAGACATACTATAAACCTCTGTCAGTGCTTCAAGACATGCTATATATCTCTGTCAGTGCCTCAAGACATACTATATACTTCTGTCAGTGCCTCAAGACATACTATATACTTCTGTCAGTGCGTCACGACATACTATATACTTCTGTCAGTGCGTCACGACATACTATATACTTCTATCAGTGCGTCACGACATACTATATACTTCTGTCAGTGATTCAGGGCATACGGTAGGTCAGCTTCTGCCATGCATGAGGGTTAATTCCGTCATGCGCGGATGTTGTCAGTTAGGTGGAACACAATCCTATATATTTTCCATTGTTGGTAATTGAAATTGGTAAGAGTCCGGATCCGGAATCCCGGCTAAATGAAGCATTTTGTGTAGTAAATATTTCCTTTCACGTAAATATCGTCCGACCAGGATACCGGGGCTTCCACTGTAATTCTTTTCAGCATTTTTGGGTGCAAATTCTTGTTTGTTTAAACAAACGCCATTGAAAGTTCAACACCTTGCCCTACACCTTCTAATGTAAGGCAGGGGGGCCCTGTAAGATGATTATGATCTAGACCCATGTTTTAGGCCACAATATTTGACTTTGGTCTGCTTTTTAGGCACCTTCGTGTCGGGAAGCGCCTTATGATTTTTTATGGTCTTTTAAAGTGTTCTTCTAAGGAGATGTACCTGCACGACAACATATGTCGTTCATTATATCGATCTCTGGTTTATCTAGCCCTGAAGAGTCGCTTGTTTACAGATTGTACACCGATGGTTTAAATACTGATGTCACATTACCATATATATATATTTGTATTTGTAGACAGTGATAATGTGCCAAATGTCATTCAAGTGAGATCCGCCAGATTTGTGTAAAGATTGTGCTGTATTTATTAGGAATATTATTCGGAGACCATATGCATCTGTTAAGAATGTTACTACGTAAATGGGTGCTGTATTTCTTTTCAATACATATTTATGCTGTAAAGGTATGTTAATATAAACATAATAAAACTATATGAACGTAACACACTTGTGGCATTTTTGCTTTGTTCTTATGACCTTTTTCAACATGGAGGTATAGACAAAAGATCGGTTGAGTTATCGCCGTAGCATCTCCCAGGTGTAAAATATTCAAATTACCCATATCCTACGGGCCGGTTCTACCTTTGTGTAACCATGTTATCGGGCATGGTGCTAGCAAACTAAGGATCAGACTTCTTCTTTGTGTTCTGTTGTTTGGCGCTGCACTCAGCAGTATTCCAGCTATATGGCGGTGGTCTGTAAGACAATCCAGTGATCAACAGCATGAGCATCGGGATACGATGGCATGTGTCAACCAAGCCAGCGAGCCTGACTACCCGATCCCGTTTGTCGCCTCTTACGACAAGTATGGGGTACTGGCTTATCAACAAGGAAATCAAGTGATTTTCCAAGTTATCGGGATGTAAGTTCAGGCATGCTCGCCTTTGATTGGAGCACGAGCATATCCAAGATATGCATAAACAGTGTGTTTACAGTCGGAGAAATGAACGTTTTGCCTTTAATTGCATTCGACAGGTCGGCAGATTCGATGGAAGCAGTGTCATAGTGTGGGGTCAAATATCCAGCACACAAAGATCTGATTTAGTGGTGGTTCAGGGGAATTTGACAGCAACTCGGTACATCAACGAAGTTCTTGCCCGTCACGTGTTTCCGATTATGGACCGTCAGAGGGAGTTGTTCCAGCATGACAAAGCTACTTCACATACAGCACGCGTCACGGTCCGCTACCTAACTTAATTCTAACGTTACTGTCTTGCCATGGCCTTCCCAATCACCAGATCTAAACCCGATAGAACACCCATTGGATGAACTCGATCGACGTGTACGTCAACGTCAAAACACGCCTCAGACATTTCCAGAACTGGCCATCTCATTGCAGGAAGAGTGGGGAAGAATTCCGCAAGAGTGACTTCGTCGACTTATCCAGTCTGTACCGAGACGGTGCCGAACAGCAATTGCTGCCAATGGTGGCCACACAAATTACTGACTTTGACGCCATCTTGTGGACTCAAGTAGACAGAAACACAACAATAAAGGCTGCTGTTGTGTTGGCGAACTCTTTGTTTATAGACAAATGTACGTGAAATAATTTCTCTTAGGGACCGTTCATAATTTACGGCTAGGGGGATGGTGATTTTAAGATGGGGTCACCCATTTTGTTTTGGAAGGTAGGGGGTCATCAATGCCGTACACAAGTACTAGGGGGTTCAGCAATTGTAGACATTAAAACATTATGCTTAAGAAATATGGGAAGGGGGTGGGGGCGGTCATTGATTTTGTACATGACATTGGGAGGGGGACTTACTTTGTAGATAATTAGGGGGGGGGGAGCGCAGTCACATTGTACATGCTTACCCATAAAAACAATCATTTCGCCCTTGCCATAAATTATGTACGGTCCTTTAAACTAACGCAGTAAATTCTTCTAAAATGGCTTATGCAGAAGGGGTCTGTTCTAGTCCAAACTCATCCAGAGTCGAGCATACAGCTGACGATTACCAACCAGGCAGTAGAGGCCGTAAGACAGTCTCCTGAACAACCCTAAAGAGGAAAAAACGAATAAAAACGTTTATGCTCCCACCCCGGAAGACATGTGTAGGATTGCCTGGTCATGAATCCATAACGTCGGCATACACCACCCGACTGACGTTATCCACTACATTAGGTGTATGTTGGGATTCATACAGCTACCAATGCTCGGTGAAGAATAAGAAATAACTCTTGTCTCTGCTCAACCTGTCCAGGTAGGCGTGTTCGAGCATCCTCTCATTGTGCGTGAGCAGGAAGCAGACCGTGTCCGTCATTATAGAGTAGGGCTCAGCCAATCAAATGACATGGCACTACTTCAGCACCTCACGCGCGACCTTGACGTCATCGATGTGACGTCATCAGGGTCCCCTGAATGAACTCAGATTCATGAGGTGTGGCATCTCGATGGAAGGTTCACCCATGAAAGCCAGATTTGAGTATACATCGACCAGGCAACAGGATGGAAACCATGCCTGAGATGTGGTCCGAACCTCAGAAAAGTGTTTCTGAAGCCAGTTGAGACACAGTACATCAAAACAGAAGACTGACTGACTGAGTTTTGTTTTACGCCGCTTTTTAGCAATATTCTAGCAACATCAAGGCGGGGGACACCAGAAATGGGCTTCATACATTGTACCCATGTGGGGATTCGAACCCAGGTCTTCGTCGTGACGAACCAACGCTTTAACCACTAGGCTACCCCACCGCCCCTCAAAACAGAAGAGGATACCCCTCATTCTTCAGTTGGTCGTCTATGTTTTACCATCATTGTCTATACTGCTGTCATCACTGCTCTTATATCATATTACCCTGTACAGCCACAGTAATACCTTTGTATTGATTTGTTAATTTTAGAGTACAAGTGTTAACTTCAACACATATTTGTTGTGCTGCCAACGCTACTTCAGTTACACATTCAAAATACAAAGAAGTGAGTGACTAGAAGTTTCATTTTATTATAAAATCGTCATCTTATACATACATATAGATATAAAATGACAATATGAATGACATGACAAAATGGCCACATGAGTATATTACATATGCCCTCTAAAACTTAAAGCAATCATTTGATTTAAAAATGGGGTTGCTTTGAGGCCAATTATTTTCTAAACATAAACAAGTGCTCATTTTTAATTAAAATTGACCACATAAACTGTTTTTTTATACACTTGTCTGAAAGAAAGGGAACATCGTGTTATGCTGCGATTCTAAGCATGTTATTCGTTTTCTATCAAAGAAGCTTGACATGTTGTTTTTAGAAAACAATCCTTCCACCTTGAAAATCAAACGACTGCTAACGAAGAGCTCCTCTTGGACGGGACCAACATCATCTGGTTCAATTTCATTTTTTAGCCTAACCAAACCTGATTGACTAGCTAAACCAACTGTTTAGACACATTGATATATCTAAATTATAGTTATATGTTCATATCTAGTCATATCTATGTTACACAGGGATATGTCATTGGGCACATCTCAAACATTTCACCTGAATATGGCGTCTGATATCCTTATTTTTTTCCAAACAAAAAAATTACGAGTCTGGCTGCTGGCTTGTAATAGACTTTGGCTATTGTAACAAAACCTGCAGACTGACTGACTGAGTTTGGTTTTACGCCGCTTTTAGCAATATTCCAGCAACATCACGGCGGGGGACACCAGAAATGGGCTTCACACATTGTACCCATGTGGGGATTCGAACCCGGGTCTTCGGCGTGACGAGCCAACGCTTTAACCACTAGGCTACCCCACCGCCCCTCAAAACCCGCAGACCTAATGTTGTCGTTCTTACACAGGATCAAAGGACAAACATCTTTCCTGATTCCAATTATGGAAAAAAATCCCACAGTGAGTGGGAAAGACGTCTTACATACGTGTGGGTGAGAAACCCTAGTTGGAAATCTGGTATCAAACGTGTGGGGTCAATTTCCAAACTCGTGATTGGCTACTCCATGGTGACGACCTAAGGTCAGATTATGACGACTACTTTCGTGATTAAAATTCATTGATAAGTTGCTCGTGATTAAATAGAACACAAGCCCGTTGTTCGTGTTAAACACTGGTGATAACCTACTTGTTACTTTCGCAAATGTAACGAAAACATTTTTTGTGCAATCAAAAATACTTAGAATATATATAACACAAATCTAGTTTTTGTTACATTGATATAACTCAAGAGGATTCAGAAAATGTAAATGTATGTTCAAAGGGAACAGTGAGGAGAGCAGGCCTACTGTAGGTATTTTCGCCTATGACTGTATCTCTATTTTTGTAATTTTGGAAACTTGACTTTTGGCGGCCATTTTGTTTGAGGGTCAAAATCACTTTTTTCAGCTTGGTACCCCATTTTCTCGTGATCAGCACCCTTTAAATAGGTACAATAGCCTGGATACCAAATCCTGCTAAAAATGCCTCAACATCTTTTATTTGAGCCTTTTACCAGAATCGGGCTTAGTCGAATTACTGAATACATTCATTTCTGTACTTCCACAATGATAATAGTCTGAAGGTACACATTCTGATGTAGCCCTATCCTTGATGATATAGGGTATTTTATGCCTATTCTAGAACCACAGCTTCATCTGAGAAGAGGCATCACAATCTCCATCTCAACAGTCACTTACCACAGAGGCCCTCGCTGAAAGGGTTAGGAATCAACAAATCAGAAATCCTCGCCTCAATGCAGGATATGTATCTGTGTTCAGATTCAGGTTGTAGTCATAAACGATTCCTTGGCTGGAAATTTTTTCCATGTAAGTGATAAGACTGCTGAAGTCAATATGCTACCTGTCATCCCAGTTGTGTTCAATAAAGCACTGTACCCAATTTCCTGAAACGTCCTTAGTACTACGACTTAGAGAATGGGCGTTACGATCATAGCCCAAAGATCACTTTGTGCTGGTGTACTCTTGCTGCTTCTTTCAATTTTTCAAAATTTGTTTGGGCAGCTATTCTTAGCTTCAAGTCAATCCTGCTCTGTAGCAGGGCCCCGTTCCTCAAAGCGATCGTAGAGCTACGACAGTACGTAAGTCTATGTTAAAGTATGGGAGTTACGATCATCTTAGCGCTACGATCGCTTTGTGGAACGGGGCCCTGGACACAAAATGAAACCATATTGGGAGATAGGTCAAGACACGATGTTACCATGGTGATAAGATAAGGACTCCTCCCAATACCAGTACCCTTACAAGTACAATGTATCATACAGCACCATATGGTTTAAATAATGCTAATGCAAGGTTACATTTTAACTCTCTCACTCTTATGATCTGTAACAAAATGTTAAATCTATCTCAAGTATCCTCTACCATATGCTAATCAATGCTTAAAATCTCTCAGGGGACTATATGGTTTAAATAATGCTAATGCAAGGTTAAATTTTAACTCTCTCATTCATATGATCTGTAACAAAATGCTACATCTAGCTGAAGTATGCTCTATCAGATGCTAAACAATGACAAAAATCTCTCTGGGTATACCCGCCTTGATTGAGCTCACACACATATATATGTACTGAAAAAAGAGTCACGGATCATGGAACATATTTTTGTTGTGGAGACCGAGCATACCATTTCATACTTTATATGATCCCTTACTTATACTGACCAGTATATATTACAAATCAATATCATCAACATGTACATATACAATAAAACAGGGATTTGAGGCAGTGCGTATTGACAAGCACTTGTTTTTACAACCAAAACAGCTGTACCAACAGACGATCAATCAATTAACATAAGAAAGGACTTAATGTTGATGCAAGATGCCGGGCTGTGTCATGTGATGATTTGGATGCCACACCGCGGGTCGGTGGATGCCATAAAATGTTTGGGTGAGAAAATGGCAGTATTTCGATATATATTTTTGTCTATTTTTCTTGCAAAGCGTAACTAATCAATAAAATATTTAGCCTAGCTGAGAGATGCATTATATTGCTTTAAGTCCCAGTCTTATTTGCTTGTCCCAGCTGTGTACACTAACATGACTCAACAGTAATTCAGGAAATGTAAAGGATCTATCAATCCACATGGAAGGGGAAAGCTCCTTAACTGCTTTTAGTCTTGCTCCAGGGGACAGTCATAACTGATGAAAAGAAATTCTTCTTGTTGGCACAATTCAGTTCCAAAGAGCACACTGAATGTTTATCCATGTGAGCTGTCACATCAAAAGTAATTAGTTGCTGCATTACCAGTTGCTTGTTCTAAAACGTCTAATCCCAGTTGCGCAGATCGATGCTCATGATGTTGATCACGGGATCGTCTGGTCCAGACTCGATTATTTACAGCTGGAATATTGCCGAGTGCGGCATAAAACTAAACTCACAGGCTTGTTCTTAAAATTTTGAAATTTGGCCAGTTTTCTGCAATTTAATTGTAAATTTCATTCAAATAGTTAATAGCATTGTTATGTTGGAGTGTGTATGTTGAAACTTGCGTTTGAGTGAGACTTTGTGTTAATGATGGAGTTCAGTTGCGTATATTTGTAACTTTGGTCTCCTCACTATATGACTGTAATAATGCTGATGGGATGTAAAATCTTAACTCATGTCACCTGAATGTCTTGTGATTGCCCTGTGGCCATGTTAAAACTCTCATTCCTGATGACACTAAAATACAAAATACCCGCGTTTTAACAATTTTACATTATATATATTTTAAAAAATCACCCAAACAAAATTATCCCAAACATCTCCAAGCCAAACCAAAAAAACAAAACAAGTGAGCTAAACAAAATTATTTGTTTTCTTATCGTCATTCATAACTCCTTACCTAGCTGGTTAAAACAATCTGACAACCTTAACACAAACACAGAGGAGCACAAGAACAAAATATGGAAACAACAGCGTCAAGAGTACCATCTCTATTGCCACATGTATTCCACAAATACTCACTTACTGTCTGGAAGCTGAATGCCTGAGTACAAAACTTTGATGTCAGTTCTTCCACACTGAACAAAGCCGGGTCATGAGCTGATTATAACTGGGCAAATACACATCAACCTGACACCTTCTGTTGTCACAGATACCGATCGATCTGTAATAGGTGTAGATCATTCCGTCAATACAAGTTGATCTAGTACATACTTATAGATCTTAAAGTCAATGCCCATAGGTCTTTTAGTCAATATTTGTAGACCTTTTCATCAATAATTGTATGTTTTTTTAATATAGATCTTTCATTTCCTAGCCGTAGATCATTAAGTCACTACACATCAATGACCAGCTGGAGGCAAACACCTAGCTGCGGGTACTATGTGTCTTATACTGACCCACACAGTCCACCCAGCAGTAATTGGGTACCTCGTAAGGACGGGTAAGCCACATTAACTTGCTGCACCTAATGGTTGTATGATCCCCAGGGAGTTGAGATTGAAAATACAATGTCCCGTGTGTGTGTGTGTGTGTGCGCGTGTGCGTGCATGCGCGCAAGCATGACCTGTACATCTTTTAGTCGACAGTTCTAGATCGTTAAATCAACAGTCATCTAATTTTGTGTATAGATGAGTTGTTGACCTTTATGTCCATAGCCATAGATCAGATAGATCTTTTAGTCGATAGCTTTAGATCTTTAAGTTGATGGTCGTAGATGTTTCAGCTAGTATATGCAGATCTTTAGTCATGGTCCCTTAGTGACTGAAGGGCGACTCTGGATTCTGGACACCCGAGTTGAACCTGATATTCTAGAATAATTCCAGATTACCCATCAACATGACCTAGCCTATCATCTGTCTCAATGTTATGTGATAACTGCTTGCTAGTGGCAGCATATGGAACAATTATTGCACTCTATCCAAGAATAACAACCATTCACATGATAAAAAATATCCCTTTCAAGAACTTAAAATGAATCATTTGACATTCATCACTCAAGACAGAACTCACACAATCACATCACAGACACTGCCATTCATTGTCACACATTCACATCAGTTGACATTCATCGTCTCTTCCATGTATGTACACTTGACACATCGACTGAGGCAGGAACGTGGCCTGACCCACTCAGTTCACTCCACGGACAAATACTTGAGTGCTTTTATGCCATACTTCTTGGATAAATCTCTCTGGAATTCCCCTTTCACTAATTTCAGACATCTGAAACAAAAAAGAATACCTGAATTGTATGCTTTGTTAGCAACAAGTCTCCATGTAAAGTGCAGACATGTGTTCATCCATCACATTAAAATCAAAATCTTTACTCCACCATGATACCCGTCTTCAGAGTGAGTGAGTGAGTATGGTTTTACGCTGCTTGTAGCAATATTCCAGCAATATCACGGCAGGGGACACCAGAAATGGGCTTCACACATTGTACCCATGTGGGGAATCGAACCTGGGTCTTCGGCGTGATGAGCGAACTCTTTATCTAGGCTACCCCACCGCCCCCACCTGTCTTTCTAGGGAAAGTAGGACAGCCTAGTGGCTGTGAAGCCCATTCCTGGTGTCCCCTGCTGTGGAATATTGCTAAAAGCAGCATAAAACCCAACTCACTCACTCACCTGTCTTCATTAAGTTTTGACAGCCACTCCAAATCAAATGACTGACTGACTGAGTTTGGTTTTACGCCGCTTTTAGCAATATTTCAGCATCATCACGGCGGGGGACACCAGAAATGGGCTTCACGCATTGTACCCATGTGGGGATTCCAACCCGGGTCTTCAGCGTGACGAGCCAATGCTTTAACCACTAGGCTACCCCATCGCCCCCAAATCAAATGAGGCTAAAGTGGATTTAATGTAGCTTTCATGATTGTTTCAGTCCAGGCCCACTAAGATAGCATGCCATGGATAGCCCACTCAGACATTGAGATAAACGTCCTTGTCGTATCCCCTTAATGCTGAGTACGAGGGTAACACGTCCTATGGGTCATACATAAACAACACCAGAGAATTTGAATCATATCGTGGGAGATAACAAGTGTAGAATAAATTTAAATCAAAATCACGCACAGTCAGACACCAGTTGCATTGCGTATAAGGGCTTTACCAAGAAACACAAAGTCAGGGAATGGGTCCTCACAATACAGTTTTCTTAACAGTGATGCATTGTTGTGACTGATTTATTTAATGAGTACAGCTAATCGAACAGTAGCTCAGTTGTCATGTGCAAGAAAGCCAAAACTGACTGAGGTCTCTGAGGAACACTGTAACGAAACATGCAAGTCTCGGATGCCATAGCCATCGTAGCCCCCATCATAAAGGGTGGCTGTAAGACAGTAAACCTTGACCCTGCTATACTGTGTCCATCCCAAGGCCAAGGATACCCAAGGAGATGATCCACAAAATGATTGAGTGAGTGACTTTAGTTTTATGCGGCTTTTAGCAATATTCCAGCAATATCACCGTTGGGAACACCAGAAACTGGCTTCACAACTTGTACCCATGTGGAGAATCTAACCCAGGTCTTCGACGTGACAAACGAACACTTTAACCACTAGGCTACCCCACCGCCCCGATCGACAAAATGATAGTTCTATGCCAGTGTTAAGCCTGGAGTTATGACAGCCATGGCTCCAAAACCTTTTGTTGAGGAGAGTGTCAAACTTGGTCCAGGTTTACCAGTAAAGAGTGACAAACAGAGCACCTTGAATCCCAATATAAACAAAAAAATCATAAGAGCTTTCATACTTACTTTCTATATAATGAACTTGATCTAAACTTGGCAATGTCGAAACTAGGAGCATGAGGCATATGAATGATGAATGCATTGGGTAGAACGACAAACTCATATCTGAAAAATAAAAAACATACATCTGTCAGAAAAAATCACACCAATGGATATGTTACAAACATTACATTTCATAGAGTAGTTCTGTAAAACCATCTTGTCTACCCAGACTGTACTAAAGGGCTTTACGGTGTACCCTGAATGAGGTGTGAGGTGAGGTGAAATTGGGTTTAACGTCGTGCTTGAGAATATTTCGCTCATATGACGACGTGCATGCGTGTGTATGTGTATGTGTGGCTGCTTGTACTAGCCCAGACTTAAGCTGGTTTTATAGTGCTTGCCCACTGAGATACCATGCCGCAGTGAAGCATGAATACCCCACTCAGACACATTATACTGACTCCGAGCCGACCAGTTTTTGTTGTACCCATTAATGCCGAGCGCCAGGCAGGGACCAACAAGTACCATATTTTAACGTGTTTTGGTATGACGCGGTCGGGGATCGAACCCCGCGACCTTCCGCTCTCCCGGGCGGACGCTCTAACCACTACACCACGGAGGCGGTCGTACCCTGAATGAAATACAATATCAACACTCAAGAACACTTAACAATACTTCCTAGGAATCCATGAGCCATTTCTGCTCACAACTATCTCATCCTACAGCTTTGGGAAGCAGAAAGGACAAGTATGTACAAACCATGCAGTAGAATTATGTCGTGACTGCTTCAGATAGAATACATTGAGATTAAATTTTGAATTCTTCTAGATACTGATGAGGTTTTGTACATAATGCAGAGCTCCAGATAAGATTTAGCTCATGTGGGTACTGTAGCCACTGTATTTTTTTGGAGTGGGTATTATGAATGTTGAGTGGGTATTTCATTTTCCGTTACCCACAGCTTTCAAATATGTGCGTATTTCAGTCATTTTACTCACCTAAGTATTATGTCATTGAGTAAATTTACTAAGCAGGTATGTTCTGCCTTATGTTACACCTAATCGAAACCAACTTAAATATAATGGAAATTCTTTCATAAAAAATCACTCATCCTATACTGACAGTACAACACTTGTCCTATACTAACAGTACAACTTGATAGCAATAGATGTCTTTTTCATTACGCAAGCGATTTTTATAAATATATTCCGTACGCATTTGTTTTAAACTCTTTGCGTATCTAACATTTTAAATGCGTAATTGGTACACAACAATTATTTTTCAATACGTAATTGGAAAGTTTCTATGCGTAGTTTACCCGGATACGCAGCTTATCTGGGCTTCTGATAATGACCAGTGAAGTGATGGACATCAGGGAGTTAATTGACGACACCTGGTAGCTGGTCACAGAGGTCAGTGGGGTAATTGTAAATTCAGTGGGGTAATTTAGGTCAAAAGGTCATAGGTCAGGGCAACGGCGGTGTGAAAGGTAACAGAGGTCAATAATAGGTCAGAGGTCAGTAGAGAAAAGGAGGACTAGGTGGCAACAGGTCAGTGGGACAACAGGGACAGAACAGTACACAGAGGTAACAGAGGTCAATAATAGGTCAGAGGTCAGTAGAGAAAAGGAGGACTAGGTGGCAACAGGTCAGTGGGACAACAGGGTCAGAACAACAGTACAGAGGTTACAGAAGGCAATAAGGTGTTAGGTCAGTGAGGTTACCAACGTCAGTTGATCAACAGATTGCGTACTGTAGCAGAGAGTGAGTGAGTGAGTGAGTTTAGTTTTATGCCGAACTCAGCAAATTTCCAACTATATGGCAGCAGTCTGTAAATAATCGAGTCTGGACCAGACAATCCAGTGATCAACAGCATAAGCATCGATCTACGCATTTAGATCTGACATGTCGTTTGTCTTACTCAGGTCAATGGGTATTGGAGGTCAGTGAGCTACTTACCCCTCAGCGTCCAGCTGCATGATATGTGACACCTTGTTCCATCCGAAGCCCATGAAGCGCTGGTCATACAGGGGGACGTCTTTCCGCACAACCACATACGGTTCAAAGTCGGACTTCCAGGTCACCTGATCACATGAAATCAGCTACGTGTAATGTATTTTATGTTACACATATTCAGTGACCAAATATGAACAATTCATATGGAACAAATGTGGAAACGGTCTTTTCCTTTTTCTGCCAGTTTTGCTGATTTCAAGAATATAACACTGCCTCCTGAATGGATCAACACTGGAAGTGTGGTAACCAACATCATTATTTATAAACAAACATCTTTTTTTTAATATTCACATTGCTATTTATACCATAAATCGATAATAACCATTCTTCCATAAGTCACAAAAACAATAATTCGTAATAGCCGGAGTTGTACCAATGACCCAATTGAACAGAAAAGAAAATTCAAAATATGACTTCATGATGAGAATATATGCTGGGTTACCAGTTCTAACCCTAAATCCATGAGAATGGTGTCAAGATTAACAACGTTGTTCACTCACAGTGTAGGGCGTTGTGGCTGTCCTCCACTCGGCAAAGTCGGTGGGGCCGTGACCCTGTGGCCACACATGGAACCTGTTCAAATAGTCACATGGAAGTTTACCCTCATTCAGATTGCATTCAAAGGTTAGAGATCAAATTCTATTGTCACTCGATGTAACATATGACTTGCTGCTGACTTGCCATCTACCTCCTGGGGTAAGGGAAATATCACTACTGCTAAACAAATTAAGAAGAATCATGATATTAATACCAAGGACCTGCATAACCTGCGCAAATGACATACACATGTATTGTTCATTGGGCATCTGGGGTGCACTGTTCATTGGGCAACTGGGGTGCACTGTTCATTGGGCATCTGGGGTGCACTGTTCATTGGGCATCTGGGGTGCACTGTTCAATGGGCATCTGGGGTGCACTGTTCATTGGGCAACTGAGGTGCACTGTTCAATGGGCAACCGGGGTGCACTGTTCAATGGGCAACCGGGGTTCAATGAGCAACCGGGGTGCACTGTTCATTGGGCAACTGGGGTGCACTGTTTAATCGGCAACCGGGATGCACTGTTCAATGGGCAACCGGGGTGCACTGTTCAATGAGCAACCGGGGTGAACTGTTCAATGGGAAACTGGGGTGCACTGTTCAATGGGGAACTGGGGTGCACTGTTCAATGGGCAACTGGGGTGCACTGTTCAATGAGCAACCGGGGTGCACTGTTCATTGGGCAACTGGGGTACACAGGGCAACTAGGGGGCACTGTTCAATGGGCAACTGGGGTGCACTGTTTAATCGGCAACCGGGATGCACTGTTCAATGGGCAACCGGGGTGCACTGTTCAATGAGCAACCGGGGTGAACTGTTCAATGGGAAACTGGGGTGCACTGTTCAATGGGCAACTGGGGTGCACTGTTTAATCGGCAACCGGTGTGCACTGTTCAATGGGCAACTGCTGTGCACTGTTCAATGGGAAACTGGGGTGCACTGTTCAATGGGAAACTGGGGTGCACTGTTCAATGGGGAACTGGGGTGCCCTGTTCAAATGGCAACTGGGGTGCACTGTTCAATGGGCAACTGGGGTGCACTGTTCAATGGGCAACTGGGGTGCACTGTTCAAATGGCAACTGGGGTGTTCTGTTCTTTGGGGCACTACAGAAAACTCATCAGTAGAAAACACCACATGGTTCGATGGTACAGTCATGATTTCAAGCTTCAGAAATTTTATTTTTTTTAACAGGAGTCCTCTAAATAGCACATTTGGCTCAACACCACTTTGAACATTATCACAGCATGTCAGGTAAATGTGGGACGAAAGCCCCAACTGATATCGATGTTAGATGTTGACCACCCCTGATGCCCACAAGTTTGGGTGTGGTAAATCATAATGTACCGTCCCCGATCTATTTGTACAAGACAGTTCAGCTGGTACACCTTGTACAGCCACCAGTGGCACATATTACTCAAAATACATGGATTCTGACAGCAACTGATGAAACATATACTGAAGGACAAACATCTGGCATCACACCGTTTATGGAAATACCAACCTGAATGTAAACAGGGTACCCATGTCCAGCATGGTCAAGAGTTCAGCCTTAGACTTGGGGAAAGTCAGTCGGTAACGCTGGGTCTCGAACGCTGGAACCACCAAAGCCTGGAACATAAACAATGGATTTGTTTGTTTGTTTGTTGTGTAAACAAGTCACTATGTAACTAACCAGTTTTAATATTTACAGGGAGACAAACCAGTGATTGATATTATGAGCAATGTCCCAATCCATTAAGTCACAATCAATTTGATTTGGAAAGGTTCTACATGAATAAGATTTCATGGATGAAGATATAAAATCTGATCTACTCTGGGCTATAGAAAGATAGAAAGCTATCGTAGTGCTACGACTGTTGTAAGTCTATGTTACAGTATAGGAGGTATGACAGTCGTAGCGCTATGATATCTCTGTGAAACGGGCCCTGATATTCAGTAACTATCTCAGTACTGCCATAGCTCTATTTCCCGAAGATCTGACAATGCCTTGTAAAGTATTGAAGGTCACCATGTTGCTTGAGGATCATATGTGAGGTGAATATTTTTACCTTTTTCTTGGTGGAGAGTTCCATCATTGGGGCGGCTTTCTTGAGATACTCGTACAGCCCATACATGGGGAGGAAGTCGATGTCTGCCAGAAAGACATATGGTGTGGGGGCCTGCTTGAGCGCCACGTTACGGAGGTAGTTGACGGGGTAGAATTGCTGGAGACAGAAAACAGAACAATCTTCTGTAATAACAATCTCAACAAAGTACTTGCTCTATGTAATAGAGGAATCTTGGATCACCAGAAAAACTCAGAAGAAAGGATGTATTTGGAAAGATTAGTATAGTTCTTTCTGAATTAAAAAAGATATTCAGAATAGCACAATCTTCAATGAATACATACATTTCAAATAGACTTATTTGGAAAGAAAAGTCACTCATGAAATTGTTGAGAAAATAAGAACAATTCAGAATGCAGTACAACCTTCTGTAATTAAAGCATTTGTTCATCACACCAAAGGCCCAGGTTCGATTCCCCACTAGGGTACAATGTATGACGTTCATTTCTGGTGTTCCTGCCGTAGAAATTAGAATTGCCTGACCACCCGATCCAGCTAATCAGCTCTTGTGACAAGCATGGGCTGATAAAGACCAACACAGGTAAGCTTTCAGAGAAGAGTTTGTGAATGTAAATGATTATGACAAACAAATGACAGACACAATTATACAATATAAGCTCATGTAAGGCCGACTACGGTATCTACAAGAAGTCCAATCAAATAAGACTGGTCACATCAGGACTCACCCCATCTCTATACACAACATGATAACCAACGTTCTTGCGAGACATGAGTGTTTCGGAGCCCAGTGCATAGCGGAGAAACTGTTGTGCCTCAGCGTCCGACATGTAGAGGGCGATGCTGATGGGACCCTCCCAGTGTTTGCAGATCATCTCCAGCATCTGGAGACGGTCCATACTGAGCTGCGAAACCAACGTCACATCATCCTCCTTGTATTGGTAGTTGTAGTTCAAGTAGTACAGGTGGGTACGATGGACCAGTAAACGCTCCCGCCGAAAGTCATAACACTCGTCGTCTTCGTTGGATATCAACTGAAAGTCAGTTTGAAATTTGTTAGGAATTTGTGAAGTGTGTGTATATACATATATATGCGCGAATAATTGACCGCGCGATGTAGTCTAAACTGTCAATTCCGCGAAAATTGCACCACGCGAAAATAAGTACGTTTACAGTATACAAAACAGATGTACATGTTTAGAAAATTTGCCCAGAATTACCTGCCATAGCACAAGCTCCTGTCTCTGAGAGCTGCAACTGTTAATATGGCTGCGATATGGTATAGACACTGAGGTTTGTATATGTTTCGGATTACCAAGTGGTATGGGATAACATCATCTTACCATACTTCTTGTCAGGGATTATTTTCATATCACATGACAAGTTTCCGCATTCAGGTAGCTGTTCCATTAATCAATAATGGATGTGGACGTCTCATCTAGATGAATAGGATGTTACCAAGGATAGGTGACATTACAGGGGGAGGTAAATTGAACAGCACCATGGCACCAACCCATCTGATAGACTCAGAAAGGAAATAATCCTTTAGTAAATCGCTGTATTCCTATAGTCCGTCAACTGAACTTTTGGCACCCTGTTTTTCACAATTTACCTTTTAACCAAAAATGCCTTCAAAATGTTTTTAGGCATACGCTCTTTATATCTTATGACCTATGTAAGGTTTAAATTTCATAATTTTATGTCAATTATTAAAGCTTCTTCTTAAGAAGCCATCTTATAAAAATATGAAAAATAGAAGTAGTTATACAAGGGAGTAAAATGATAAGATGGAACAGCAAACAACATGGTGTGACACGCGTGCATCTTGTTTACATTGTTATGCCTGCAAGCAAATCGAAAGGGACTGTAAAATCATCACAAATCCATTCAAGTTGATTTATTGAAGTCTTTAAATACTGGTTGCTCAATCTTTTGTAACAGATTGAGCAACAGCTTGCATACGGTATGCTTTGATACATTGATGTCATGGTCTTCTTTTGAACAAAATTTTCTTCAGTTTGCTTAACGATATGGACTAACTGGATCGATTTAACCGACGCATGACGTCCCTCAAAACCCTTCTATCGAATTCATCGAGCTATCTTTTCTTTGCATGTTTTGAGACGGTCCCCGATTTAACTGTCATGTCATCGTCAGTCTCTGAAATAGTGTCATGGGAGATAACTCTTTGCTATGTTCTTTTGCAGATCTTGGTGGCATTAAGTGTCTTTAGGAGAAACACTCAATTGAAAAAAGAGGTTTTTTTTCCCTTTGCCTTGCGCTTGAGAAAGTTGTGAACTCTTTTGATGATTTACCGGTCATCTTTGTACAACATCATTTTTACCACAACCTGTGTGTTGACGATCTTTGACATCACTTGAGCGTGCTAATGTAAATACCCGTGCATGTACATATCACGCTGACACACATTTTACAATGTTGTTGGCTTTTCCATCACGTGCGTTAACCCCTCGTAAAACTCTCTACAGTTTTACAATTATTATATGACAGGTTTAAAGGCAAAATCTTTAATAATCGTTTTAGAATTACTAAAATCAATATCTTGTTAGGTCACAGTATACAATTACCATATGAACAGAGTTGAGTTTTAAAATATTCAGGAGTTTTATGTAAATTGTGAAAAACAGGGTGCCAAAAGTTAAGTTGACGGTCTATAAATGTGATTGACATCACTAACCTGTTCTTGAACCTGATTGGCTGAGCCCGGTGTTCCGCATCCAAACAGCTCCCTCCGCAGCAAGTTGCCATCGTATTCCAGGAAGGTGAGGTACATGTTGCGGAAAAACTCTACATGCTTGTTCTTGACTTTCAGCTTCATGGGCGAGTTCCAGTGAATTATCTGAAACACAGAGCTCCTGTACACATTGTGCCTTCGTTCCATGGAGAATCAAGGTTAGAATAGGTCCCCTGGATTCTAGATCAATAGCATATGCTTACTGTAAAAAAACAGGCCATCAAGCTACAGAAATGTACCCTAACTACACTTTACTGAAGGAATGTAAATGTTCATGCTACAGTTCACAAGGCAGGCTCCTCTGCAGACTAATGGTCACTTCCAGCTTGATGATGGTGTAAGAATCTACATGGAAAGGTCGCTCTGTGCAATAAACAAGAAATTGTGATCAATATATTCGTATGCTTCTTTTTGACTCACCAACTTCTAGAATGCTGAACAAACATGTAATTTTTTAAGTACACAAACACAAATAATTTCTTTACATATAAATACATAGTAGTTATTGCCAAATCTATACACAGCCTAATTTTGAAGAATAGGACCTAAATAAAAAGGATATAATGCCGTATACGGGACTCCAGTGCTCGCCCAACCATCGGCTTGGGCGAAAAGGGAGACAGTGACAAGTAAGGCTGGTCACATGACTGTTTGCGCGGGAAAAGGGAGCTAACTCGTGGGTGAGTGTATTTTTACGTCCGCTTCGGGAACTTCAAGGTATTCAAGTGTTCCACTACCAATCGCAAGGAAAAGGGAGATAAGCAAAAGATCATGAGTCAGGATAAGTAAAAATAACAAGCAATGGTAACTTACGTAACATCATGCTGTGCATACAAGGAGTCTGAGAATCATAAGTTCTTATAGACACCATGCTGTGAACACTATGTCGCAAATAAAACATGACACTTGCAACACTTGATCATTCAACTGAAACCGACTGACTCTGCACAATCACTAGCCTGCTGATTAGTGCAATTTTATGGTCAGAATACATGTCTGTGACGTAATTTCCGCCAGTACAGATTTCTGAATGCCAAGGTTACTGAGAGAGGAGTGAACCCACCTTGAGGTCTGACACGTCACTGTAGCACTGCTCACTGCGAGTGTTCATACTGAGCTGGACGTTCCACTGACATGGCAACTTGTACACCATGTAGGGGTGCTGCTTCAGCACCGCGTTGAAGATGTCCTGCAACATCACCGACATTAATCACACAACATACAGGGTTGGGATGTCACGGTGCTGTGTATGGTCTATAGTGTGTGTGTGTGTGTGTGCTGTGTATGGTCTACAGTGTGTGTGCTGTGTATCATCTATAGTGTGTATACTGTGTATGGTCTATAGAGTGTGTGTGTGCTGTGTATGGTCTACAGTGTGTGTGCTGTGTATGGTCTAAAGTGTGTATACTGTGTATGGTCTATACTGTGTGTACTGTGTATGGTCTATAGTGTGTGTGCTGTGTATGGTATATAGTGTGTGTACTGTGTCTGGTATATACTGTGTAGAGCTGGAGTTTTAAAAAATATTCAGGAGTTTTATGTAAGTGCTTGAAAAAACAGGGTGCCAAAAGTTAAGTTGATCTTGGGTCTATAAATGTGATTGACATCACCTAACCTTGTTCTTGAACCTGATTGGCTGAGCCCGGTGTTCCGCATCCAAACAGCTCCTCAAGCAGCAAGTTGCCATCGCGTATTCAGGAAGGTGAGGTACATGTTGGCGGAAAAACTCTACATGCTTGTTCTTGACTTTCAGCTTCATGGGCGAGTTCCAGTGGAATATCTGAAACACAGAGCTCCTGTACACATTGTGCCTTAGTTCCATGGAGAATCAAGGTTAGAATAGGTCCCCTGGATTCTAGATCCAAAAGCATATGCTTACTGTAAAAAAAACAGGCCATCAAGCTACAGAAATGTAAAAATCTAACTACTACACTTTACTGAAGGAATGTAAATGTTCATGCTACAGTTCACAAGGGCAGGCTCCTCTGCAGACTAGTGGTCACTTCCAGCTTGATGATGGTGTAAGAATCTACATGGAAAGGTAGCGCTTCTGTGCAATAAACAAGAAATTGTGATCAATATATTCGTATGCTTCTTTTGACTCACCAACTTCTAGAATGCTGAACAAACATGTAATTTTTTAAGTACACAAACACAAATAATTTCTTTACATATAAATACATAGTAGTTATTGCCAAATCTATACACAGCCTAATTTTGAAGAATAGGACCTTAAATAAAAGGATATAATGTCGTCATATCGGGACTCCAGTGCTCCGCCAACCATCGGCTTGGGCTTAAAAGGGAGACAGTGACAAGTAAGGCTGGTCACATGACTGTTTGCGCTGAGAAAAGGGGCTAACTTCGTGGGTGAGTGTATTTTTCGTCCCGCTTCGAACTTCAAAGGTATTCAAGTGTTCCACTACCAATCGCATGAAAGAAAAGGGAGATAAGCAAAGATCATGAGTCAGGATAAGTAAAAATAACAAGCAATGGTAACTTACGTAACATCATGCTGTGCATACAAGGAGTCTGAGAATCATAAGTTCTTATAGACACCATGCTGTGAACACTATGTCATAAATATAAACTTATGACACTTGCAACACTTGATCATTCAACTGAAACCGACTGACTCTGCACAATCACTAGCCTGCTGATTAGTGCAATTTTATGGTCAGAATACATGTCTGTGACGTAATTTCCGCCAGTACAGATTTCTGAATGCCAAGGTTACTGAGAGAGGAGTGAACCCACCTTGAGGTCTGACACGTCACTGTAGCACTGCTCACTGCGAGTGTTCATACTGAGCTGGACGTTCCACTGACATGGCAACTTGTACACCATGTAGGGGTGCTGCTTCAGCACCGCGTTGAAGATGTCCTGCAACATCACCGACATTAATCACACAACATACAGGGTTGGGATGTCACGGTGCTGTGTATGGTCTATAGTGTGTGTGTGTGTGTGTGCTGTGTATGGTCTACAGTGTGTGTGCTGTGTATCATCTATAGTGTGTATACTGTGTATGGTCTATAGAGTGTGTGTGTGCTGTGTATGGTCTACAGTGTGTGTGCTGTGTATGGTCTAAAGTGTGTATACTGTGTATGGTCTATACTGTGTGTACTGTGTATGGTCTATAGTGTGTGTGCTGTGTATGGTATATAGTGTGTGTACTGTGTCTGGTATATACTGTGTATGGTCTATAGTGTGTGTGCTGTGTATGGTCTATACTATGTGTACTGTGTATGGTCTATAGTGTGTGTACTGTCTATGGTCTATAGTGTGTGTGCTGTGTATGGTCTAAAGTGTGTATACTGTGTATGGTCTATACTGTGTGTACTGTGTATGGTCTATAGTGTGTGTGCTGTGTATGGTCTATAGTGTGTGTGCTGTGTATGGTCTATACTGTGTATGGTCTATACTGTGTGTACTGTGTATGGTAAATAGTGTGTGCTGTGTATGGTATATAGTGTGTGCTGTGTATGGTCTATACTGTGTGTACTGTGTATGGTCTATAGTGTGTGTGCTGCGTATGGTCTATAGTGTGTGTGCTGTGTATGGTCTATACTGTGTATGGTCTATACTGTGTGTGCTGTGTATGGTCTATACTGTGTGTGCTGTGTATGGTCTATACTGTGTGTGCTGTATATGGTCTATACTGTGTGTGCTGTATATGGCCTATACTGTGTGTGCTGTATATGGTCTGTGGTGTGTGTGCTGTATATGGTCTGTGGTGTGTGTGCTGTGTATGGTCTATAGTGTGTGTGCTGTGTATGGTCTATAGTGTGTGTGCTGTGTATGGTCTATAGTGTGTGTGCTGTATATGGTCTATACTGTGTGTACTGTGTATGGTATATAGTATGTGTACTGTGTATGGTACATAGTGTTTGTACGGTGTATGGTCTATACTGTGTATACGGTGTATGGTCTATACTGTGTGTGCTGTGTATGGTCTATAGTGTGTGTGCTGTATATGGTCTATAGTGTGTGCTGTATATGGTCTATAGTGTGTGTGCTGTGTATGGTCTATAGTGTGTGTGCTGTGTATGGTCTATACTATGTGTGCTGGGTATGGTCTATAGTGTGTGTGCTGTGTATGGTCTATAATGTGTACTGACCTGATCTGCCAGAGCTGTAACTAGCATGCTCATCAGCTCTTTCTCTGCAATTAGCCTCCACATCTGCATCCAGTTTAGTTCCTTTAATATCTTTAAATCGAGGAGTATTACACCAGTGTTAAAACCACGGCCCTGGAAATAGAGAAACAGGAATCTGCATGTCTTCCACATATCCAAGCTATTCATTCAGTCTGAAGCTGTGAATCTTTTCAAGGAATATTATTTGCAGTTAAAATGTTCCATATGGACAAATATTCTGCTTAATTCTGGTGATAATAGTAGTGCAATTAACTTGTTTTTCTACCTCTTTTCATCTTTTCATGAACAACAGTTCTCAATGCCTCTGAAAGCTGTGAAGTTTTAAACACAAATGAATTAAAAGCCAACCAGTAAATTAAGGTAACTGAAAATGAAGAATTTGAAAACTGAGAGACCATGGCTACTGTATCCCATTCCACAAAGTGTAGCACTAAGATACTCAATCTTAGATCATAGCACTACAACCATTTTCTGGGCTACTTGCCACCAACCACCCTCCATTTTCGAGTAATTCCAGAAGTAACTAGAGGTGTCACGATACACCAATCTCACGATACGATACGTATCACGATTTTAAGGTCACGATACGATACGTATCGCGATACATAATTTTCGCGCCTTTTCATAGCATAACCTTACCGGCAACGTACGCACTCGCTGATTGGTCCATCAAAATAGTCAAGCCAATCACAAAAGCTGTTAGTTTCCAACCTATTTTTTAAGTAAAGCTAGCTACATCTATTTATCGGAGCGGTCTCGTATAATTTTACTATCAAGACTTTGAAGGAGATGGATATAACATAAAAATTTGAATTGATAAAGTTTTAAAATATGAATCGATACACGCAAGCATGTATCGCGTATCGTATCGTCAGTAAAAATGTATCGATGCATCGATACATTCGCGTATCGCGACACCCCCAGAAGTAACATTATCAGTTGTAACAAACTGATGTCTTTGAAGTCTGTTATATCTATACAGGAAAGTTGTAAGGATGGAGAATTAGGAAATTTTCAAAACTTGAAAGCATGGTTACATGGACACCACATAGGAAAAGTCAAGAGTTATCCCCCTTCGTCCAAGGTTACACATAAACAATCAGGCGTTATTTTCACTGGACCATTGTCTAACCCAGACATAAGTCCAAACAATGATCTTGACCATATGTCTACATGAAACTCACCAGTGCTGGCCAGGGTCTGTGGTTCTTCCAGAGTTTCCCCAAGTACCAATCACTCTGGTTTTCTACAAGACCTATAGCCTGTAAAATATAGACTGAGTCACTTCATGTGCAATGTAGCACAGCAACAACATACATAGTGCTCTTGTCATGCTCATCAAAATGTAATTTTCTGACTAAAATTGATATTTCATTCTTATCCTGACTCATGATAATTATGCTTGTCCCCTTCTCCTTGCTATATGATAGTGGAACACTTGAAATCCCTTGAAGTTCCCTTCTAAAAAGCGGACGTAAAATCACTACTCACCCAGGAGTTGCCTCCCTTGCCCCTTTGGCGCCCTTTTGGTCACCTGACCGACCATGCCTTGTCACTCTGTCCAGAGATGAATGCCTGACACCCAGATTTACAGGGAAATCCAGAGTGCCATAAGAGGGGAGGTTGGGAGGGCTACCCTCATGAGTCAGGATAAGTATAAAATATCAATTTTAGTCAGAAAATTACATATTTTTGCTTATCCTGACTCATGCTAATTATGCTTGCAGGATCCGGCCGGAAGCGGTGGGTGGGTCAGGCCATGTTCTGGATTAACTAGTTGTTGATTTATGTCCTGTACCCCCATGGGAACTTATGACAACACTGTTGAAGCTTCTGTTCTTTCAACTTCTCCTGGGGAACCACAACTTGTCAGATTTCTTCCCGAAACTTCTCCTGACATTTTCTTGTGGATTTAGATATACTAATATTCCATTAGTTATCTATTGCAACTCCATCTCTTGATGTGCATCAAGTGGAGATGCGACCCTTCTTCATGTACGAGTATGTCCTATACAAGTACAGGGTCGATCACTCATGCTAGTCTGTCCTAGACATGTGCATGGACTTATAGCCATTGCTCTCCAGAGCATTGGTTTTCACAAGTCACTTGATAACAAGGGGTGAGATTTACTCAACGCCTTTGTGGAACCATTAGTTGTTGTGCTACAACAAGTGGCCCAAACTGGTGAAGGCCTGAGATGTCTTTGGTTGCAATGTCTCTGAGGTAGTAGTTGGCAAACACTGTGTTCCATCTCCAAAAGCAGCCCTCCATTATAGTTGTAATCGAAAGCAGTTTCCATGCAGAACAAGTGTTGACGCCAGGGCTCTGACTTCGCAGGTGGGTTGGAGGCTCGCTTTCAAGTCCTGCTGCTTTATAGGCCCTTAGTATAACGGCTCTCATCCAGATCGATATCGTTGTCCGCAGACTTCCTGTAGGCGTCTCAGTGGATAAGGGGATGAATAGGCTTTGAATTTTCGCCTCCTTGTTTTAGTTCTCTGTAGGTAGACTTTAAGTGCTCTGACTGGGCATAAGGATAGATCCCTGTGTATCCTGTGGCCCACTAAGGACTGTAGATAGTGCTGGGATGTGGAACTGTCTGTCAGGCTGACCGGGCAGTTGGTTCTTGGCGATAAAAATCCCATCTCAGTCCAAGATGTATGATGTCGCTGATGTCTTGATTCAAATCGTGTTCGCTCAAAGTCCTGAGCATTTATTTCTGACATCCTGTGCAGCTGTTGCTAGAGCTTATCAGGAACAGCATTTTTTTTCTGAGTTAGTAGTTCAAAGGATGTCATTCGCCAGATCGCGACACCCCCAGAAGTAACATTATCAGTTGTAACAAACTGATGTCTTTGAAGTCTGTTATATCTATACAGGAAAGTTGTAAGGATGGAGAATTAGGAAATTTTCAAAACTTGAAAGCATGGTTACATGGACACCACATAGGAAAAGTCAAGAGTTATCCCCTTCGGTCCAAGGTTACACATAAACAATCAGGCTGTTATTTTCACTGGACCATTGTCTAACCCAGACATAAGTCCAAACAATGATCTTGACCATATGTCTACATGAAACTCACCAGTGCTGGCCAGGGTCTGTGGTTCTTCCAGAGTTTCCCCAAGTACCAATCACTCTGGTTTTCTACAAGACCTATAGCCTGTAAAATATAGACTGAGTCACTTCATGTGCAATGTAGCACAGCAACAACATACATAGTGCTCTTGTCATGCTCATCAAAATGTAATTTTCTGACTAAAATTGATATTTCATTCTTATCCTGACTCATGATAATTATGCTTGTCCCCTTCTCCTTGCTATATGATAGTGGAACACTTGAAATCCCTTGAAGTTCCCTTCTAAAAAGCGGACGTAAAATCACTACTCACCCAGGAGTTGCCTCCCTTGCCCCTTTGGCGCCCTTTTGGTCACCTGACCGACCATGCCTTGTCACTCTGTCCGAATGAATGCCTGACACCCAGATTTACAGGGAAATCCAGAGTGCCATAAGAGGGGAGGTTGGGAGGGCTACCCTCATGAGTCAGGATAAGTATAAAATATCAATTTTAGTCAGAAAATTACATATTTTTGCTTATCCTGACTCATGCTAATTATGCTTGCAGGATCCGTCGGAAACGGTGGTGGGTCAGGCCATGTTCTGGATTAACTAGTTGTTGATTTATGTCCTGTATTACCCCCATGGGAACTTATGACAACACTGTTGAAGCTTCTGTTCTTTCAACTTCTCCTTGGGGGGAACCACAACTTGTCAGATTTCTTCCGAAACTTCTCCTGACATTTTCTTGTGGATTTAGATATACTAATATTCCATTAGTTATCTATTGCAACTCCATCTCTTGATGTGCGCATCAAGTGGAGATGCGACCCTTCTTCATGTACGAGTATGTCCTATACAAGTACAGGGTCGATCACTCATGCTAGTCTGTCCTAGACATGTGCATGGACTTATAGCCATTGCTCTCCAGAGCATTGGTTTTCACAAGTCACTTGATAACAAGGGGTGAGATTTACTCAGCGCCTTTGTGGAACCATTAGTTGTTGTGCTACAACAAGTGGCCCAAACTGGTGAAGGCCTGAGATGTCTTCGGTTGCAATGTCTCTGAGGTAGTAGTTGGCAAACACTGTGTTCCATCTCCAAAAGCAGCCCTCCATTACAGTTGTAATCGAGCAGTTTCCATGCAGAACAAGTGTTGACGCCAGGGCTCTGACTTCGTGTGGGTTGGAGGCTCGTTTAAGTCCTGCTGCTTTATAGGCCCATAGTATAACGGCTCTCATTCAGATCGATATCGTTGTCCGCGAGACTTCCGTGGGCGTCTCAGTGGATAAGGGGATGAATAGGCGCTTGAATTTTCGTCTCCTTGTTTTAGTTTTCTGTAGGTAGACTTTATGTGCTCTGACTGGGCATAAGGATAGATCCTGCGTATCCTGTGGCCCAAGGACTGTAGATAGTGCTGGGATGTGGAACTGTCTGTCAGGCTGACCGGGCAGTTGGTTCTTGGCGATAAAATCCCATCTCAATCCAAGATGTACGATGTCTTGATTCAAATCGTGTTCGTTCAAAGTCCTGAGCATTTATTTCTGACATCCGTGCAGCTGTTGCTAGGGCGATCAGGAACAGCATTTTCTGAGTTAGAAGTTCAAAGGATGTCCGTTCTAGAGGCTCGTAGGCATCACTGGTGAGATGTCGTAGCACTATGTTGAGATCCCAGGCAGGAGCCTTAAATTTCTTTTGTTGGTCTTCCAACTTGAACGAGCGTAGTAGTGCCAGAATCTCTGGTACTTTGGTCAGCTTGATACCCGTTTTCATGGTGATAACTGTACTGAGGGCAGCTAAGTAAGTTGAGAGTAATGAACCTTTTAAGTGTCTCGTCTGTCGTAGATGAGATAAGTATTCCGCCACTTGAGGATGTGTTGCTTTCACTGCTGTAAAGCCTTTCCTCTTTGCATACTGTTCAAATCTCTGCCACTTGTCGTCGTACAAGTTGCGAGTTGATCCGCGTAGCGCTAGTGTAACTGCTTTCGCTGCTCTGGCGAAGTACCCTCTGGTCTTCAGGCAAGCTTTAATACGCTCCACGCGTGTAGATGGAACAGTGTCGTCTGCTTGATTTTCTGTAGTACTTGTGGTAGCAGTGCAGGAGGTGGAAACGTGTAAGCGTTTAGTCCTTCCTATGAGATGCTTAGAGCGTCTGTTGCCCATGCCTGAGGATCTGGAATCAGTGAGACGAATGTTGGTGGCTGTTTGTTGAATTTTGTTGCAAACAAGTCTATTAGTGGGGATCCTATAGTCTGTATGATGAACTGGAATGCTTCTGGATGCAACATCCATTTCGTCGGGGATGGTTGTAGTGGACGAGCTAGGGCGTCTGCTATGACATTCTTTGCTCCCGGAATATGGCATGCCTTCATGTAGATGTTCAGGTCGTCGACTATGCTGAACAGGAGAAAGCTGAGTTGTAGCAGACTTGTTGATCTTGTTGACCCTTGTTTGTTGATGTAAAACGCCACTGTGGAGTTGTCCGTGTGTACCATGAGTCGAGCGTTCTTTAGTACGCTGGACCAATGTTGTAAAGCGTTGATTACTGCTTTCATCTCCAACAGATTGATGTGTGACTTCTGATCCTGACTCGACCACTTCCCTGCTGCCACTTCATTGTTGAAGTGCGCACCCCATCCTTGTAGGGAGGCATCCACGTAGAGATGAGTGTTGCAAACTGGCTGTCAAAAAGGTTCCTCCGCAAACATTCGACTTCCGAGTCCACCATAGGAGATATGGTTTCAGGTAGTCCAGTAGTATACACAATGGTGGTACGGGACCAGGTCCCCCCAAAGGCTCAATTTAATAGAAAGTCTTCTGTCAATGTCTGCGCTGATACCAATGCCGATGTAGCTGTAGAAGCAGGCTTCGTCTTCTTACTGACGATGGAGACTTCCGGTATGAGGATTGGTGGATCATCATAAACTTGTGCTTCTCCTGGAGGAACAATCTCGGCTGAGAAAGACCTCGTCTTCTGCGTAGAACTGAATATAGACTTCGATGAAGTCTTCATGGTAGTAGCCTTCTTCTTCTGCGTAGAAGATGATTTAGCCTTCTTCATCTGCGATGAGGTCAGCTCAGTAGATGATGATGTCTTATGGCCTCCGGCGTTCCCCACTGGTACATCAACCTGCTCCCGAGAAACGTTCGGCAATTCACTGGAATTATGAATGTCTGCAGCAGTGGATAACACACGGTTATCAGCGCAATCACTCGATTTAGACATGACTTGTGAATACCTACGTACCAGGTCCTTAGCACGTCTATTGATGGAAAAGGGGCAAGGGAGGCAACTCCTGGGTGAGTAGTGATTTTACGTCCGCTTTTTAGAAGGGAACTTCAAGGGATTTCAAGTGTTCCACTATCATTCGCAAGGAGAAGGAGACAAGCATAATTAGCATGAGTCAGGATAAGGAATTTTTTTTTGTATATTTCAATCACCAATATATTGATGAAAACAATAATGATTAGTAGAAAGTAATGCTGAAGATTATCAACAAGATGAACAAGATGGATAAGAATAACTGCCAGGGAATCAAAGTTCTAAACCTACCTGTTTGTCTTTAAAACGCGGAATATTTTCCACAATTCTGCTATGTCAGTTGCAAATGTAACATCAGTATCTAAAACAAGCACCTGCAAACAGAAAACATTATGTGCTTGAGATTTTCATCCCTGAGCAGGTGACCCAGCATAATGTCATCTTATCTTGCTCCCCTCAGTTAAAGCTGTAAATGTATTCAGACCCAGGCACCAAACAAATCATACATATATTAACATTTCCATTACTGAATAAGTGTCGACCTTTTACACATCATGTTACTGTTACTTGTTATGTTACCATGGAGTACCCTGTGATCTCCCACTGATTGTGACGTCACCACCATCAAACCCACAATCGTGGCTGTGGTGCAGACAAACCACAAAGTCTGGGATTCAAACCCATGGTTAGAGTATCCTGGCATGTTAAGGGACATAACTCTGCCCAGGGACAGCGACTGGTACAGTAACTGCAGAATGTTAGACTCACTCTGCAAACACAAGTCTTTCAGAATCAGCACTTGATATGCTCAATTTTCAACAGAATAAGTCTCTGTTCTAATGCTATAAATACCACTGATCAGTTCACAATCAAAGCATAAAAGCGAGAGTAAAACATCAACATCTCAATCACTACCATCAGTACCTATGCTAATCAGTCTCAAAATGAAGCTGTGGCTGAGGATTTACCATGACCTGCTGAGAGGTCAATATTTGGTCCCAACTGCACAAATGTCATAAAAATATTTGCAAACTGAATTACTAATTAAGGTAATAATGAATAATTTACATCCTATTTTATGGCTATGCATTTCACTAAAACATAGCCAATAAGGAGGAAAAGGTTTTCACTGAATGAAATGTCAAAATTCAACGTCCAAATAGCTTTAAATTCAAGAAAATAAATATATATAAACAAATACCTTTTTAAATATAGAAATAGACATTTCCCCCAAAAATTGCATGCCATGGGCACTTAGCTATCCGAGGTGTGTGTGTGTGTGTGTGTGTGTGTGTGTGTGTGTGTGTGTGTGTGTGTGTGTGTGTGTGTGTGTGTGTGTGTGTGTGTGTGTGTGTGTGTGTGTGTGTGTGTGTGTGTGTGTGTGCGCGTTGGGGTTTAGTAAATATGTGAAAGCTAAGGCCAACCAAAATGATCGATAATATCATGGATGTTATATATTATTCATGATTATCGAAATGAAAAGTGAGTTAGCGATAATATCGTACATTCACTTTTGTTGTAGACAAACGTTTTAATTTACTCACACAATATACAAAGTTAGATCTTTTATTCATGGGCTGCTTCGATATTATTAATATTTAGTTAACGATTATCAATATCTATAAATACACAGCCCTGGTAAAGGTGATATCCAAATTTATCAAGGAATTTATCAAGAATACGAATCTGATGCTGTCTGTGGTTGAAGTAGTGTGACAATGTACAAGTGTACCTTATCTAGGTCAGCAGGTAATGTTTTAGGCAGGGTCAGCTTCATCAAGCCGTACACTCCGGAGTAATGGCGGTTCGGGATCCACGACACGTCCGGCTGAAACATTCAACAGTTGTCAAAGATCCTGTCTCCATGTTGTTGTGGATAGACTCCATGCATGGTGTGTTGAAGGTCTGATGTGTCCCAGTGGTATCCACGTTTAACTGTGCAAACTGTCAGTGTATGATAACTATACTGTGGCACCAGTGCACACCAGTACGTGAAGCCGCCCACATCATGCAACAATCCTTAGTGCATCCTTAAACCCCAGTTCACCACGTGTCATACGTACAAAACTCACACTGTAATGTCAAATGATCTCAGTCATTCCCATAGTCAACATAGTAAGAACACATATATGGTCTGATATATATGCAGTGTCTAAGCCAACACACCCTAAGCCAGTACACCTCAAGCCAACACACCCTAAGCCAGTACACCTCAAGCCAGTACACCTCAAGCCGATACACCTCAAGCCAATACACCCTAAGCCAGTACATCTCAAACCAATACACCCTAAGCCAGTACACCTCAAGTCAGTACACCTCAAGCCAATACATCTCAAGCCAATACACCCTAAGCCAGTACACCTCAAGCCAGTACACCTCAACCCAATACATCTCAAGCCAATACACCCTAAGCCAGTACACCCCAAGCCAATACACCCTAAGACAATACACCTAAGCCAGTACACCTCAAGCCAATACATCTCAACCCAATACACCATAAGCCAGTACACCTCAAGCCAATACCCCCTAAGACAGTACACCTCAAGCCAAACCCCCCTAAGACAGTACACCCTAGCCAGTACACCTCAAGCCAGTACACCTCAAGCCAACACACCCTTAGCAAGTACACCCTAAGCCAATACACCTTAGACAGTACACCTCAAGCCAATACACCCGAAGCCAATGCACCTCAAGCTAGTACACCCTAAGACAGTACCCCTCAAGCCAATACATTCTAAACCAGTACACCTCAAGCCACTTCATGGTTGTTCCCATTGACCTCAAATGTCTTCACAAGTATAGCTAAATCAACCAGTTAATGGACAACTTGACAGCTGGCAGACTACATAAACACATCTAGAGTTATCACCCTTTATGACAACTGGATATGCTCATTTAAGGTCACTAAATGACACAATAATTTCAGCAGTTCTCAGCATGGTATATAAAATGATGGTGAGGTACACTTATCTCAGAAAGGAATGTGTTAATGCAAGGTAAAGTAATGAGTAATATCTTACCTTAACAGCATCTGCTGGGTAAAAGCTGACTTCAACTGGAAGCAGAGAATATTTAATATTAAATATTATCAGTTCATACATATTCATACATACATACATACATACATACATACATACATACATACATACATACATACATACATACATACATACATACATACATACATACATACATACATACATACATACATACATACATACAAACATTTGTATAGCGCCGATATCCAGTACAACTGCTCAAAGGCGCTTTGTTTTCCCTCGATCATTGGATGTCCATCACAACGGCACATCGTATTTTCAATCTCAACTCCCTGGGGAGCATACAACTCTTGCTGCCTACTAGGCGCACCGAGTTAATGTGGCTTTCCCATCCTTACGAGGTACCCATTCACAGCTGGGTGGACTGGGACAAATAGTCACAGCACTTTGTCCAAGTTTTACTGCACGTTGCTGTACCTGCAACTAAGTGTTTGCACGTATTCATGTGACCACCATCTGGTCATCTACCAACAGATTCGTGGGTTCTTTTAAGTGCACAGAGTTGTGTACTGTACACTAGGGGTTGTGACAACACTGAAAGACAAAGTTGACTCCAAGGTTTTTTACACCCGGTCACAGGTGGGCTCGATCCCAGCATCTCCAAGCTTGCTGGATTACTAGCCTGGCGCCTTAGACAGCTCGCCCACCGCGCCCCCGCTTGCCCACAGCGATGAATTCATGAATTATTAGCAATGCTTTCTTGGATTCAGTAAGTGTTTCAAATTAATTTCCATAAAATATTCATGCTTTTCAATGCCCACAACAATTTTCCAAATCAGTTTCAATACACTAAGTTCCACAATGAAATAGCTTGTATATGAATCGCATTGGTAAAGACGTTACATACACATATTCCTTGAACAGTTTCTTTAAAAATACATTTTAGCTACAATGTCACCACCTTCACATTAGTATGTAAAACTTGATGAAATCTTACAAATGTTTTATTGTGGCCAAATAAATTATAAGAATAAACTGGAAACTGGTCTGAAGAATATAAAGGGAATAAAACAGTTGACATTTTTCTGGATCAACAAAACACAATTTGCAAACATGAATGTGTTTGCAATATGTCAGCTACGTGAAAGTGACTTGTAAATAATGGAGTTTGGACTAGAAAATCCTGTGATTGACATTGTCAGCAACAATCAATTTCATTGTGAAAAAAGACACATTATAAAAAATGTCCACAAACTGGACACCCTTCCCATTTGGACCCTTCCTACGACCAGCACAGGCTGCTGGGGACCGTTTCTATCCAGAATCACCAAACATCTAAAGTAAGCACATGTTAAACCACAGACTGGTGATCTCACCTCCAGCAACATTCCAAGTAGTAAACAGATTCCTGAGAATGATTTCTGCGACACTGTCTGAGATAAAATGGAAGTGAAGTGGGTTTCGCCGATAGAATAACACACTCTTTATAAGCGTGACTACATCACGTGTTGAGTTGTAACCCGCACAGACAATTGCGACCTGGATCACCTGAAACAATATGAAAGTGGAATTAATTTGGATACCAACTGAGTCTCACGACTGACATGTCTGTCCTATAAGCAGTGTGTGTCTATCTATGCAAACCTCCTGGAGAGTCAGTGTTTATACTGTAACCTACACAATGTTTCTAGTTCACCTGATTTAAACAATTTGATATTTAAAAATATTTTTAGGTGCACTATATTACCAATATACCACTGAACGAAATACTAATGGATATGTATCACAACACATTTGAAAAGATACTGGTATTTCTAAAATCATGCATGTTTTCATTTTGTTGGGAAAGTTAACATGTTAACATGAATGAAATTACTAACCGTTTCCTGTGATCAAGAAAGCAATACTATATATTTACCATACATAACAAGTCATGTCAACATGCTTTGTAGCCATGGCAACAATCATTGCCTGCTAGCTCATCCCACACTCAGGAATATTCCAGTTTTATCATGGCCACTTGTGAAGAATCAAGCGAGGTGGGGAAACCGTGAGTGAGTGAGTTGAGTTTCGTGCTGCTTTTAGCAATATTCCAGCAATATCAAGCCAGGGGACACCAGAAATGGGCTTCACATATTGTACCCATGTCTTCGGCATGACAGGCGAATGCTTTAACCACTAGGCTGAGAGTAAGGTGCGTACATTCATTAAACATTAACTGGGATTGAACTGAGATGGTACTGTGGAATGTAACCAACATCTGTAACCTGTTGTCACTGGATTCACACACGTTAAGGACTACTTCAGCGGATCCTGTACAAATGGAGCAATATTAAGAAACTGTACCTCACACTTGGGCACCTCGGGTTCAGAGTTGATGCACTTGACCCTGGACTTGTTGCCGGTCTGAGATACAACGTCGTTCTCTGCTGCCAGACTCATATGCGCTTTCAGAAGCTGACTCTGGGCTTGACTGGATAAAAATGGATATAGTAAAGTGATAAAGAGAACAGAAAGAAGGAGCTAAAGCCTTGGTGGTGATAAAGAGGAAGTTTCTGGTTTGGTTTGATTGTTGTTTAATGCAGCACTCAGCAATCTTCCAGCCATATGTTGGCAGTCTGTAAATAATAAAGTCTGGACCAGACATCATAAGCATCGATGTACACAATTGGGATGCGATGACATGTGTCAACCAACTGGGTGAGCCTGACCACCCAATTCCGTTAGTCGGCTCTTTTGACAAACATGGGTTGTTGAAGACCAATTCTAACCTGGATCTTTATGAGTCGAGAGTGTCTCAAAAGGAGAGGGAGAAGGGAGTAAGGAAGGGAGGGAGATTGGGGTAGAAAGAGGTGGAAGGAGAAGGGATAGAGAGAAAATACAGAGAGGGGTTTAGAAGGAAGAACAGATGAGGGAAAAGGATAAAAGGAAGAGGATAGAGACAGAAGATTGGGAAGAGGATAGAGAAAGGGAAGAGGATAGAGACAGAAGAGTGGAAAGAGGATATAGTTAGAGAATAGAAGCCAGAGGATATGGAGAAGGGAACAAAAAGGATTCACCATAGACTAAGATAAAAAAAAATCATGTGATTGCAGAATTAAGGTTGCTATTTAGTAATCAATTCCCTGAAAGATATCTGTCTGTGTGTGTGTGTGTGTGTGTGTGTGTGTGTGTGTGCGTGCGCGCGTGTGCGAGTGTGCGTGTTTGCAAGGTATATGTGTTAACAACATGTGTGTGAATGATTTGTCTGTATTTACAAGGTTTGCATATTACCAAGGTATTACCTGAGCTGCTTCCTCAGCAGTCTGTTTTGCTCGTCCAAAATGTTGACCCTCTCGGCCAGCCTTGTTTCCAGGTGACCGGCGCTGCCCTCAGCACTGTAAGGATCTGTCACAGAGTTCATATATACAGACAGACACACACACTACACACTAATAAACTGATGGACACAACAATCTGTCATGTTTTGCTCTGGATACTTGCTGGATATTTTAGTCGAAATCAGTGTATGAAATAAGGCCTGTACGACCGACCAAGACGGGTTAGATTTCAGACGGGCGGTCGAGATTTACAGCTAGCCAGCCCGATGGTCTGGCCCGTCCGACCGCCCGAGACAGGTTAGATTTCAGACGGGCGGTCTAGATTTACAGCTAGCCAGCCCGATGGTCTGGTAAAAAATTGAGATGTTATTTACATCTGAGTCATATCTTGGTGTCTGGTCTGGTTAAATCCATTTTGGACTGGTAACATTTTGAAGTTACCAGCCCTGATGTCTGGCTGGGTTTTTGGCTTATTTCATACACTGTCAAAATGCTTAAAACAAACTTAGGATATAACGACCCAAAAAATGTGATGAGCTTGTTATAACCGTTGTTTACAGTAAGCTAAAGAAATTACTCCACTTGCACATGTTTAATGTAACTGATTCCATTAACTGAAGATCAAAGCAAGTCTTAAACACTGACAATAAGACATACACTACTACCTAAACATTCATTCCCCTTACATGCGTTGATAACGCGTGCAGCCTGCATATGACATGCACGAGCAGCACTTGTGAGTCCTGTGTCACACAGGTGTGCAACACATTTGAATCCTGTGTCCCACGCCATGTGCAATGAGACACACACGTGTGTACCATGTGTGTAACATGGGACCAAGTTTCAGTTGAATTTGACGAATTGTGTTAGGGTTGCATGATTAAATTTGGATGAATTCTGAAATCGGAAATTTGCCAGACTGGCTGGCTGAGTATGGTTTTACGCCGTTTTTAGCAATATTCCAGCAATATCACGGCGGGGGACACCAGAAATGGGCTTCACAAGTTGTACCCATGTGGGGAATCGAACCCCGGCCTTCGGCGTGACGAGCGAACGCTTTAACCACGAGGCTACCCCACCGCCCCGAAATTTGCCAGAAGTGGTGGGGGGATGAACTATGGGATGGTTTGGCTGGTAATTGTTTTGCTTGCTTTTATGTTTTGTTTTTGTATTTCTTAAGTTAGCACTAGTTGTGTGTATGCGAACTAGAAGGCAGGTTTTGATAAGAAATATGCCTAAGGCTTTGCAGGTTTGGGTGTTAATTAGTGGGTCTGGATGATATATTCTAGATAATATTATCAAAAGCCTTTATATAGAGTACTTATGGCAGAACATAGTCACCAAAACTAATGCCCTAACCTGACATAACATAACATAGGAGGAGGATGCTGAAATTGCCAAAAAACGTGATGTAACTGTTTCTTAATCAAATCAATTACTTAGTATATTACTTTGATTATACTTTGTTAATATAGCAGTGAGTATACCATGTTTCAAAGTACTTCAAATGTTTTGAAAACACTATGACCACAATCACTTTTGATCATTTTGTTTTTACTTCTTAGGATATGAAACATGCTTCTAAGCAAAAAGGGAATATACAGTGTATATATATCTTTTAGATTTTTCCCTTTTACATTTCCATATTATACTTATAAGAGGAACAAAGGCGGTTTGAAAATAGTATTTGAAGGACAAATGTGGAGTCAGCATACACGTCGAAAGAACATACAAGACTTGAGATTGGCGCCACACTACTAAGCCGACGAAGAATTCCGAATTTACTGTGGCATGCTCAATGGCCTGGCATTAGATCAATAGATGAAGTGAAAGAGGGCATGGAACACCTGCGTTCCATGAAACCCCAAGGACCTGATGCCATCGATAACCTGGTGACATCGATAACCTGGTGACATACTTAGATATGGTTTTCCTCCAGCTTCAGAAATTGTGCAAGGATCGAGGTTAAAGAGTGCAAATCAGTCCCAGAGTTCCTGTATGGGGTTGGGTGGAACATCTGACTTAACAAAAAATTTTGATTGATCTCTGAAAGCAAGTAGAACGCTAATCAATTATCTAATTAAATAAGTGCTTGAAGTTATTATTCATTTAAAAATGTATGATTTATGATCATGATGACATTAATTAAGAAATACAGTTCGCTCTACCACCATGTATAGTGTAATAAAACACACTTTCGCCCTGAACTATTATAGTTAAAGTACGAGGACGCTTCAAGGCGTCCGAAAGTGCTTTAACGCTATAATAGTTCAGGGCGAAAGTGTGTTTTATTACACTATACATGGTGGAAGAGCTAACTGTATTTCTTTTCTAAGATGCCAAATTTAATACTTTCTAAGGATAATTACGATTAATTTAAGGCAGAAAACAAACGATGGTGTCGGTGACCTAAATTAAGAATCCTCGCACATGGCTAACTGGTGCACTGTTCTATTGATGTGTCTGCCCCCCTATGTTAACACGAACGTTACCAGAAAAAACCCAAATGATAACAGTTTGATGACGGTTTACGTTCAGATTAAATATCTTCTCTGAATTATTTTAATTACATCTGTCATTAACGTAAACCATATGGGGCAATATGAACGTTGCATTTCTACTACCAACATAAGTTTAGATCAGTACATCCAGATGAAGCTGAGTAGTCAAGCGACATTCCACGATTGCATTGTGGGAATGTAAACATTGCGAACGTTACCGTGTCGCTGAAAACTTGTGAATCCAATTGACACATTATAACCGTCGTAAAACATAAACGTAATGTTTCCACCAGTGATGTTAGCTGCGTGAAGCAACAGCAAACCAAGAAACGGGATGCAACGGAGTAGTTTACCGTACGAGGCGATGACAACTGACATGCATCGTGACGTCGCTTACATTGTGACGTAATGTAAAATGGTTCGATTATGAGGGGACACACTAGAATGGCGCAGTGACGGGATAACGTCATTCAATTGTTACGTCATCAAAAAAACTATACCTTTATTGTCTGATAATGTGGGTTGTTTTTTTTATTGTTCTAACCGCCAGGCATCTTAGAACAAAACTTCATAAAATTGTTTATTGTGACTTTTTTCCCTGTGACTTTTGTCCTAGCCAAAATTGAGGCTTTTCCCCCTGAGACTTTCTTTCCAATCCCCAGAATGTACAGTGTCAATGAACTACACCCTACCAGCATTGCGTCATCTATATTGTGACGGAAAACTGATTGCCAGTATATTGGACTACATCTAATATAGCAACTTTACTTGATACGTACCTTTTTTTAGAAGTTTTAAGTATCACCTCAATAGAAAGACTCTGGAAACTATGCAAAAATCATTTATACTGCCTATTTTCGATTATGCCAGCCATATTGGAACAATTTTACAAATGAACAAAAGTTATTATTGAAAAGTTCCACCTCGATGCAGTCAGAACTATATGTGGAGCTGTCCGTGGCACCAGTCATGATAAACTATATTTGGAGCTCCGTGGCACCAGTCATGATAAACCATATGACGAAACAAATCTGACCCCTTCAGATAAAAGGAGACATTTTCTAAAGCTATGTATGCTTTATAAAATGGAAACAATCTAGTGTCTCCTTATTTATCATCTCCCTTACCACATAAAGTATCTAATTCAACCACTTATAATTTAAGAAACCATCCAAACATCCAAAGGATTAATTGTACATCTTGTAACTGTGCTAAATCATTCCTTCCTGAAATATTCAATATTTGGAATACTCTACCCTCAGACAGTACAATTGCTCCTCCCTTGGTTAATTCAAATAGAGATTAAGAACAAACAAATGACTTCAAACCTAACTATGTCAAATCATTCACTTCCGCCTCCAACTTGCTTGCAGCGATCTCTACGCTGACAAATTTAGTAGATATATGTACCTGAGAGTGTAACGTGTAACTGTGGCTACCACATTGAAGACAATCTACATTATTTCTTTGTCTGCTCCAATTATGATTTCATCAGAGAAATTCCGTATTACTTTGTTAAAGGATTTGATTTAAATCTATTCTTTACGATCATTCCAGCTCAAATTTAAAAACAAATATGGAAATCTTGAAATCAGTGCACATCTTCATACTTTTATCAGGTAGATTTCCTGCTTTTGTTAAATGCTAAGGTATGAAACATATATAGAGGATATTATATAAGTGCCCATGTCATACTATGTTTACGACATGAGTGCCTAAATGTTGGTATTTCAAAAGCGAGAGCGATGGATATACCGATATTTAGGCATGAGTGTCATAAACATAGTAGGATATGGGCATGAATATAATGTTCTATTTATTACCGAAAAATTTCTGTCAAATTGAGGAAAATAAACCCAAATCTACTTTCAAATATAGGCTGGCTACCTGTCGTCGCCTCATGTAGAACGCAACATCATAGAAGAAATGTGACGTCATAGCATTGTTCATGACATCACGTACAATGACAAAGTGATATTTTGCCCTAGGGCATCATATGAAAAATATGAACCCCAATATGTTCACCCTCGTAGGTAAGAGAACTCCATAATTTCGCAAGATGCAAATATATGAAACATAATTCCATAATTATTCCATATACCTTTTAATATACTGTTATCATGTTGATTGATATGCGACATTGTTACGGCTATATTGATTACACTTGCCAACAACACTCAAATGATTATTCTATGATGTCACCACAGTTGTGTTTTATTTTCTCTATGTTGTATGGGAGAGGTGTGTGCATAAGCGCCTGGCTTGTTCACAGATCCACATTCCTTGTATTTCAGAAGTAAAAAATATGTTAAACCATATACATTTCCAAATAATAGAGGTGTTTGGCTGTCTCGCTAGTTCATGATAAATTTGATATTTTATGAATGGACAAGGCCTTTTAAGAAGATACATGCAACAAGATATAACCTTATTTTCACACCATCGTGATGATTGTTTACGTCTGCTACATGTATGGTTGGTAGCAACATCACAGCGCCGCCTACCATACTGTTGCACAACAGACATGTCACACGTTTCGCTCTAAATCACTATCTGACCCAGAAAG